TTTGTTTGTTTACCGTACCTCATTTGCGGCGAGCTCAACCATTGAGTGTTTTCTTTTGGCTAAACACGAGGGTTGGCTATTGGTTGTGTAGAGGATTCAGGCGACATGGTTCCGTGTATCGGGGCCGCTGAAAAATGAAGATGATGCAATGCATGTTACAAGACCAGGGAGGGGCGTGGAGGGATTTGGTTCGGGAAGATTAATAATAGCAGGCAAAGCAAGAAGCAGGGAAAGTGTGGCGGGGCGATGCGGGCGAGCGGACGGCGGGGGGTGGGGGGATATTTTTTTTGGTGGTTGTGCCGTGTGAGCATGGGCAGGCTAGGATGGTTTGAGCGTGGGAGGTGGACAAAAGGGAAAGAAGAAGAGGCGATGCGTGACCCATTCTGCTCCACCCGTGTACACGTGGATGCCGGAGAGCAGTGAGGCGTGCGTTGGGCGGGCTGGATGGCGTGGTGGTTTTGTGTCGGTAGGCTGCGTGTTGCGGGTAGGTAGGCATGGGGACGGAGGCATGGCAGAGCATGGCATAGCATGGCATAGCATAGCACGGCACGGCACGGCATGGCGACGGTGGGTTGACAGGGCGGCTACGTCATCGTGTATTGGGCGCCTTCGTTCTTGACCAGCCATTGATGCCGCACCAGGGCCGATACAAGTAGAGTGCCCATGCAGTGCGAGCACGAGTGCGAGCGCGAGTGGGAGCGTTATCCGGCCTTGGCCCGAAACAGCAAGCCGCGGTTTTACCCGGGTGATGCACAGAATTAGGCCCACGCATGCACGCGCGCTTGTCGGCGACGGCCATGACAGCGGGCGTGCATGTAGGATATACCACACACATATGGATGCATGTATCGAGTGTTTACATGTATGTATATGTACATGTAGGGCTGTACAGCGCGCATATGCTCGAGGGCATGTGGCGCTCAGCAGAAAAGCTCCGGTGAGGCACAGGCGCAGGCACAGGCAGAGGCGGTGCACACAGCGTGGTGCAAGAGGCCACACGTGTTGAAACAGGTCGGTCGGGCATGTAGAAACAAGCCTTTGCAGCATGAGTCAAGCGCATCGTCATTGGAGCATCGTGGCCGAGCACAGCGACGGCGACGGGCGCAGATATTTCCCCGCATGCGCCAGGCCGGCTGGGGCGCTTGCAGAGGAAATGGCCTCGTGTGTACCAGCACCAGCGCGGCAGCCCGTCAGAGATGGGCGTGCGAGCATGAGTGGACAGCGGGGAGCTGCACGACAACGGGCGACGCGGCGCACGAGGGGCCTGTGTCAGATGACGGATCCCAGCGGCCGGGGAGGGGGGTGAGAGGGCTGCAGAGCACGTCGAGGGGGGAGGGGGGGCGCGAGAAGGGCGGTGAGGGCGGTAGTGGGCGTGGTAGGTAGCAGGCGGGCGGGCGGGCGGGGCGGTGAGCTGCTAGCTAGCAGCGTGTGGAAGTGGAAGTGGATGCGGGCTTGCGGGCTTGCGGGCTGCGAGTGGTGGTGGTGGTAATGGTCGCAGTGGCCGTCGTGGTGTTGGTAGCGGTGGTGTTGGTGGTGATGGATGGGCGGAGGGGGGATACGTGGTAGCTAGTGCTCGTTCGGGACTAGCGTGGGGGTAAAGGGCAGTCAATCAGGGTCCTGCTGCTTATTCGCCCGCTCGGCCAGTGTTGCGCAATGCCATTGCGTCGTGCGCCCGGCCGCTCTCTGCAATTGACGTCGCCCGCACCGCTAACAGCATGTACATGTACCATGTGCATGTATTATGCAGTAATCGTAGTAGTCGCCGTCGCCGTCGCCGTAGCTCTGCTGCTACAGAACACGACCGTCGCCGTGTGCGCGCCCTCGCACCGCACCGCACCGCACTTCAACACAGCCAAGAGGGCCCGAGCCATTACCCACTGTTTCTGCGCTGCCGAGGCGCCCTTTTTGCACATCAAATTCCTCTTCTCTTCTCCCACACATCCACCCCAAACCCCGTCCACCCCCATCCACGCCCCGACTCGCTGCCTCGCGCCGCTACTGTCGCAGCTCTCAAGCGCGCATAGTCGTCTGACTGCTACTCTCCGCCCGCCCTCCAACCACCACCAACCCGCTGCCAAGCAAGCCCTCCCTGCGGCCCGTCGCCACACGTCGTCGCCCTGGTGCTGGTGCTGGTGCTGGTGCTGGTGCTGGTGCTGGTGCTCGTGCTCGTGCTGGCTTCAGGTCGCCAGGTACCCCGTCCCACTCGACACGCCCTCTTACCCTCATCTTCCCTCCACCCACCCACCCACCCCCCAAGCAGTCCTCCAGCTTCTCCACCATGCTGCTGTCGATATTATAACACTCGCCTCCCTTTGGGGCCACGCCACCCTTTTTTTTCTCCTGACCCCAATTAGCCCACTATACTACTATAGTACCACCACCACCACCACTACTACTACTACTTCCGCCAACACTGCCACAACCACGACATCAACACCCGATCCTTCCGCTACACGTCTGCCGCTCATCCGCAACCGCACGCCTTGCTCAGCTACAACTCTCCCCATCTGGTCTACCATCCGCCACCCAGTCAGCCTATCACACACGTCTCCTCGTGCAATTGCACCTCACCCCACGCGTCCACATCCGACGCCCTCTGGCCAACCACCACTCACCCGCTGCACCACATGGCCAACGACCAGGATCACATAAGCAGACACGCCGCATTGCGAATCAGCACGCCACAAAACATGTCTCCCACATCGCCGCCCCTCATGGCACCCGCCGAAGACGAGCCCGTGGCCGACCTGGATGAACCGCCTGAACCCCGCGCCCAGCGCCCTGCCCCCTTGGTCCTGCACAGCCCTGCCGACAGCTCGTCCTTTACAAAATCAAAGCTCGTCCTCGACCGCAAAGAGTCGCTCCTCACCTCGGCCCTCAAGTCGGGCTCCACCACCGCTTCGCCCGTAGAGGACCATTCCGACCTGAGCCCCGTTCGCGGCATGTCGTGCGTCTCCACCTGGAGCAACAACAGCGGCACCGCCGACCTCACCAGTGACGGAGGCTTCACCAGCCCCGGTACACGGCCCTGCACCCCCAGCCCACCGCTTCCCTCGACCGCCTTCCACGGCATGTTGCCCTTGGTCAACACCAAGCCATTGGACCTCCCGCTTGCTGTCGTCTCGCACGACGACGAGAACCTCTCCCCGCTACAAAAGGCCGTCCCTGCGCAGAATACCGAGCAGAACATCGAGGCAGTTCTGGGAAGGAAGCGATGCATCATGTTCGCCTGCGGTCCCAAGGACGACAAGAAGCCCGCCGACGCTCCCGCCAAACCTGCGCCTGCACCCGCCCCTGCATCCGAAGAAGCCCCAAAGCGCGTCTGCACAATCAAGTTTGCCTGCCCAACTAAACCTGCAGCCGAAGCTCCTCCCAATCCTGCTGCTGCCGCTAAACCTCGGCGCATGGCTAGCCCGGCACCACCACCACGGCGCATTTCTGCCTCACCAAAACCAAGCCAAAAATTTCACCGCGACTCCGACTCCACCGTTCGCAACAATTCTCCCGTCAGTCTCCGGAAAGCTCGTCCTGTGGACCGCACCCGCCGTTTGAGCGCAAACTCGGACTTGGCTCGATGCGAAGCATACCGCTTCCACGAGTTTGCAAGCTCGGAAGAGGAGGTCGAAGAGTGGACCCAGGAAGTAACCTGCCACCGCAGCAGGCTGACCGTCCAGGACACGCTCAAGATTGAGAACAACCTGCGCAAGCTAGGCGAAGAGGTTGCCGAGGAGGAGGCCATTGACGAAGAAGACGAGGAAGATGAAGAGGATGACATCATCGAGATGGACGATGATGATGATGATGATGACGACGATCTGCTCGATGACGACGACCAAGACGACAGTGATGCCCGCAGCGAGACCACAGACGAAGGTTTCCAGACCGACGACGAGAATGGATTTGCCGTCTCTGACGATGAAAGCGATGCTGGCTCCGACTACAACTGGTGGGCCCCCGGCGCCTCGACCGCCGCAACCTCAGTCGAGCAGCTGGAGCAGCTTCGCCTGAAACCCCACCGAACCGTATCCGAATCCTCCATTGGATCTCTGGAGAGCCGCGAAGGCCTCAAGATCATGGACAAGCCACCAAAGCGCAAAAAATCCAAGCCAGTCAACATTCGTGTCCCCAGCCCGGAGCTGCCCGACAGCACAGACTTTGTCTGCGGTACTCTGGATGAAGACAGGCCGGCCGAGGCTGCTTACATGTCGACCTTGGAGCGCCGACGTGCCGCCAAGCATAAGCCCACGCCTCAAGACATTGACCCTACCTTCCCCACATCGGATCCGGAGCTTCCTGATGACGAAGAGGATGAAGTCTCGGAAAACGAGCATCTAGCGTCCGAGACGGATCACCTCATGATGCATGGTCGCATGGATCCGGCTGACGTCGACTTGCGAGGCCGTCGCAAAGACATGGCCAAGAAGCGTTCGCCTCTGCCTTCGCCGAAGCGCTTACGCTCGCCGCCACCCGCCAAGCGTGCCATCCACCGGTCTCCACCACCACGCAAGCTGTTTGGCAACTCTCCCAAGCGCCTGCACTCTCCTCCGCCTCCCATGCGCCTCCGCTCCCCGCCACCTACTCGTCGCGGCTCGGTCAACCCCTTGGCTTCTCGTCAGCGTAGCGACATGTCGATACGCTTCGGCGGCATTGCTGAGCGACCTGCTCCTACCGTCTCTGCTTCTGTCCCACGAACACCTGTCATCATGAAGGACCCATTTGACCTTGAAGATGAGGACGCGGCCGATGGTTCCGACATGCCTGTGCGTCGCGCCATTGACATCAAGGTCGGGCTGGAGAAGAAGAAGCAGCGCCGCAAGGAGAAGTTGTACCGCAAGCAACATCGCAAGGGCGCAAAGGAGAAGCGTCCTGCGCCTCCTGGTCGTGGTGCCGAGCGCATGCGTGAAATGGGTCTGGCTGTCCATGCTCACAAGGGCAAAACCACGACCTTTCAGCCTTTTCAACTCCGTTACCCAGCTAACGATGAGGACATCCATGTCTTGTCTGCATAGACATGTGGTAGTCCATTACCGTTACTATTGTTCTTTTCTTTTTCTTTCTTTTTACCCTTCACTGTATGTGTGTGTTTGAAGTGAGGACCAGCGCCGCCTGGCAAAACAATCTTTTTTAGATTTAGCCGGCACAGAATATTTTTTTTTCTTACATGTCTCCTGTGTTGTACATAATACCCTTTCTTCTTCGTCTTCTTCTTCCTTGTTTACCTCTCTCGCGCGCGTGCGCGGTCACTGGATCATTGTCTGTGGTCATTGTTGTTACATATGGAGCTTGTTGGTCGCTGGTCCCACATCCACACCTTATTCTCTTCTTCTTTTTCCTATTTTTCTTTTCTTTCGGGTCTTTCTTGTTCTTCTGGGAGGGCGGTGGAAATGCATCTTTTTTTTAACAGAATTCGATGGGTGGCTGTCTTGTTCTCGTCCTTTCTCATCATCCTCATCCTCGCAGTCGTTTCCTGTGCTTATGCGTGCGAGCGAGCGTCTTTTCTCTTCCTCTCTTGGGCTCTTGTTGTACTCTTTTCTCTTTTTTGTTTGTTTGTTTTCGCCTTTATGGCTGAAATTCCCATCATTAGCGTCATTGGGTTAGCATGGAAACTGGAAACTGAAAAAAAAGAGAGAGAAAGAGAGAGAGAAAGAGATGACTATATACTTACACTCCTCAACATACACATATACTCAACAATATATCCAAAATAAAACAACACAAGTATTAAGAAAAATAAAGATTACTTGGGTAAATAGAGAATAGGAAAAAGCGAAATCTAGTTCATACACACACACACAGACAAGATATAACCACAAGATACACAAATATACACTTTCTATCATTTTTTTTATACCTAAGAGGGGCGACAGGGAGGGGCAAGTTTGTTTGGAAAAAAAACAAAATATTTCCATTTTCCAAACATGATTTGCCTTGCCTTGCCATGCCATGCCTTGCCTACTCTAATCCCCCCCCCCCCACACACGCCCAGTTGCCCCGTCCATCCAATGCCGCAAGCCATCATCCTATACCCCAATCCAATCCAATCCAATCCAATCCAATCCTAACCCAGTTTCCAGTTTCCAGTTTCTAGTTCTCTCTTCTTCTCTATCATATCTTACTCTCTCCTCTTCTATGCTACCTTGGCTTATCTTACTTTAGCTTGGCTTACTTGATTTTCTTCTCTTCTATGATATGCTGCGTTTATGCCGAAGCAGTGTGATTATTCCAGTCTCTTCTTCTTCTTCTTCTTCCTATCTTCACTCTATACACATACATACATACACACACAATCTACTTCTTTCACCCCCCATTTAATCCACGCAACTATCCACGTATATATCCTTCTATCAACTCACTCACTCACTCACTCACTCAACAACATACATACATGCAAACTCACCGTCTTCTTACACTCTAGCTTGAATTGATTGAACTGAATTAGACTTGTCATTACCCCTTTGTATATACACATGGACGCACGCACGCACATGAGTAAGATCAAGCCATGATATTCCACATTTTCTTTTTCTTCTTCCTTTTTTTTTTGCTTTACACATACACATACCCCACATACATACCCACAGAAGACCCACAGACACAGACACAGACACAGACACAGCCAAAGATGGCTGCACGCTACAAAAAAAGAAGAAAAACCAAGTATGGAGGAAGAGGAAGAGGAATAGGATACCCAGTGTACAAAACATACACTGAACTCGTACCCCAGAAGAAGAAACAAGAGAAGAAATAAAAAAAAAGTGTGAAGAGAAAAGAGTAGTCTAGTATACAGCAATGCAGTAGTAATGCAATGCAGTGCATGAACCGACAACGCCAAAATAAGGAACTAGTATTTTCCAAGGTGATGCTAATACAGCATTGTTGAAATGAAACGCAAAAAAAAAGAGAGAGGCGTGCGGCAAGTCTGCTATGCTATAGTATGCCTCGGTTGGTTGCGTGCGTGCGTGCGTGCGTGAGTACGTGTCCATGCGTGTATGCGTATGTGTATGTGTGTATCCCTGTACCATGCGTGCCCAGACAGTGCATATGAACGATGGGTGGGCGGCTACGAAAGATGCCAAGAGCAATCTATCTGCCAAGCTTGGTATGTATGCGTGGCCTCCCCCCCCCTCCTCCGCCATGGCCCCGAGATAAAGGGGAAAGAAGAATGAGGGGCTCATGAGAGAAGAGAGACATGGTCGTGTGCGTGTGCGTGTGTGTGTGTGTGGATGACGAGGTTATTGCGCCTCGCGGGGTAATGACGATAACGTTTGATTTTTTTTTTGGTAAGAGAGGCATGGCCAAGGATGCTTTTTTTTTCTCGTGTATTGGTATATCGTGTCGGTAGAGCCAGAGACTAGTAGATTAGTCACGGCTTGTTCTCACATGGAGCCTGTTGACTATTATTGTTGTTGGCTGCGTGATGAGATAATGCGTGATGAGATAATGCGAGGTGTGTGGGGCCCCAGCTTCCACATAGGATCCAGGGCCACAAGTCAGACAACGGATTGCTTGTAGTCGTGCGTGATGAAGATGATGTTGCAGAGTCATAAGTGTGATTGGGTTCCTTGCAAGGGAGCGGGGCTTCGCAGCAGAGGGACGCTTGGCGCGTCTCCTCCAACGACACAGCCTCTGTGGCCATGTCACCAGGCTGACGACGATGACCTGGACGTTGGCCTTGACTGCGTCTTGGCGAGTTGAATCAGTGGCAGTCTGACGACGCAGTACAGGAGCCGTACTCTGACTTTGTGGGAGACGCTGATGGGGATAGAGCTTGGTATTCTGCCGTCAGGGCCTTTTCGTCGCCTTCTAGTCGGATGCCCCTTGTGCGCGCGAGGGTTCTGCATGTGTGTGTCAGTGGAAAAAAAAGGGGGTCTCGTTGGGTGACAGCTCAAGGATGACTCACGTGGTCCAGATGTACTCTCCGATGAGATAGATGATGAAGAGAAGCATGAAGAGTCCGAGGACAGTGCCGACGTAGTGGATTTCGGGCTTCAAGCCCCTGCCGTCGCCGACGTGTTCGACTTCGTCGCCAAAGCCGCAGATGAGACGGTTTTCACTGCGAAGCTTCTTGGAGGGGTCAAGCGGGAGCGTCTCGCCTTCCTGCACAGCTTCGAGCACACTGGTGGGGAGGGGCCTGGGAATGGAGAGGACCTTGGAAATGGTCTTGTCGCTGGCAAACTGGATCTTGAGGTCGTTGGCCAGGGCGAGCGAGTAGGCCGTGTCCCAGTCGAGAGTGAGCAGCTCCTGGTAGATGCAGTGGGTGGGAGCAGCGCTCGTGGAAAAGGTCAGACAGCGGCACTGGATGTCATCTAGCTCGGGCTGTTTTGTCGGGATAGCGCAAACGCTGGTGAAACCGAGCACCAAGGCAATGGCGGTGTAGGACAGCATCATGGGCGATTTGGGGAGCAGAATGGGAAAGTGTCGATGGACGGAAAAGGACAGACGGCAAAGTTGGAAGCAGGCTGTTTTGTAGGACCGAATTTTACTGTGTGCGGTGGTGGTTGGGTGCCAGGGGCATCTAGACCCCGTTAGTGCGCCGGTCTCGTGTATAGAGTTTGTGGGCAGCAGACTTGCAAGAGACAGACAGACAGGCAGGCAGATGGGAAGCGTCGTCGGAAACGGTACCTGGATGGCGGTGCAGTGAGGGTCGAAGGCGATGCTCCGCCACGGGCAGGGAGGGGGAGCCAAGGAGCTTTATGGGGCGGGCGTATTTGCGTGGTGAGATGGGAGTAGCGGCGCCAATCAGGCGGCACTAGGCGTCGATGGTCTGGCAGGTGAGTGAATTTGCAGGCACGAGCACGAGCACCGGGCGATTCACCGAGGGCCGCGTTGGCTGAGCCACTTGGCAGAGGCCGCGGGGGCGCCTGTTTCGTCGGGGCGCCGCCGCCGTTTGCTGGCTGATGTGCGTGGTATTGGTATCGAGGTTGCAATGCCGGCCGGCTAGTTCAGCCACAGCTGTGGTAGCACTTGCGAGCATAGTGCGGTATAGAGGGCGGCTTGACACGTGAAGGTGGGCCACTTGCGGTCGCCGGCCGGGGGGCTGTGTGGCGTGATGGCTATTCATACGGCAGTGAGACCGAGCGGCGGTGCCGTGCGATCCGTGGCTGGTGGGCGGGCGCTGGCGCTGGCGCTGGCTGTGATTTGGGGAGGTGGTGAGGTTGGCTAGCCATGGGTGAGGGGATGGGGGGGATGAAGGGAGCGGGCGAGGGGGGTGAAGGCCAGGGCTGGGGCGATCAGGGAAGCGGGCCTAACCTCGGGCAAGGCGTATAGAGAGAATCCCCCAGGCTCCGTGGGCTGGTCGGGCGTGGAGGATGCGTGCCAAGAGCGACAAGCTTCACACAAGCTTCGCCGGCGCATGTCAGGGGGCGCTGCCTGAGGGCGATGCTGTCTTGACCCAAGGCCATGCTACGCGCTTGCAGCTGCTTAGCATCACTGCCCGTGCCCGTGCCCGCCGCCTCGTTTTGCTGAGCATTAATTAATAGCACGGACATGGGGAGATACGAGCAGTGGCGCCGCGCCCATGACGACCGACTGCACTTGGCTGTATTGGCCCACGCCGCACAAAAGACGCATTCCCCGAGCCACCGCGCACCGCACCGCACCGCACCGCAGCGTATAACACCAACCTCGACGCACCGCCATCAGCGCGTATATGCAATTCACCCTGATGCAACACCCTCTGCCCAATCGTCGCACGCAGCTGGCCAAGCCTGCGGCACACTACGGAACGCGTACCTCGGGCTTATTCACTCCCCCCCCCCCAGCGCGATCGCCCATAGCTCCACTCCGCCCTGGCCCTCCGCGTTGCAAGCAGCCAGAAAAAAAAACCCCTCATGTCCGAACAATGACGACAGTTGCGAGATGAGCGTGGGCGAGCGAAAACAGAAAAAAAAAGGCCTTCCGTCTGTAATTACACTACTGCAGCACACACCCTCCTGCTCTGTTTCACTGCTAAATATACGGCTGTTCGCTTACTCACCACATGACGCCCCAAAACTATAAACCAAACAGGTCACGTGCGCGCCCGGCTGTGCTCCCCCTCCTTCATCTAATCTCCCTCACCCCGCCCATCTGCTGGTTTCGAGTGGGCGCTTACTTGCTCTCCGCCCACCCTCTCCCCTCCGCCATGCCATGCCTCTGCTGCCTCGGGCTCCATGTCCCGCACGCTCAACAGCCATGCCTCGACCTTGCACCTTCACTGCTCTTTGCTGCCCTCGCCGTACCCCGTCACGCCCCCGAGGAGCCCACCAACTCCCCTTCCCACGCCCCCCAGCGTGCTCCCAACGCCTCCTATCACGTCTCCCTTGCCAAGCCTGCTTACCCCTTCTCCCAGCCCACCAGTCACCCCGCTCACAGCATTGCTGGCGCCCTTGCCGACATTGCTCACAATGCCTCCAACGGGGCCTCCCACCACACCCCCAAGCCCCTCCAGCCCGTCGCCCACCGTGTTCCCCAGTCCCTTGCCTACCCCCGTAACCGTGTTTCCTAAAAGAAGAGCATATTAGTCAAGGTTCAGCCCGCTGTACAAATCAAAAAAAAAATTATTGAAACAAGACATGATCAAGTCAACCACGCTGAAACGTACCAACTCCGCTAGTCGCCCCCGCCACCGTTCCCCTGACATCACCTTTACCCAGCGCTCCACTCGTCTTGCTGACGGTACCCTGCACGCCCTTGGTCGCGCTGCCCAAAGTGTAGTATGCATTGTCTACCGCCCCCGTCGCTGTTTTGCCAACTCCCTCCGTAACATGCTTGACCGGCTGTCCAACTCCCCCGGGCAGCTTGTCGAGCCCCTTGCCAGCATACCCCGTCACCCCGTTGACCGTCGTGTTGACCCCCGTAGTCGCAGAGTCGGTAACCGTGTTGAGCACGCCCGTCGTTGTGCCCACCGTCTTGTTCAAAGTCCCCGTCGCCGTCTTCACCCCCTTGCCCACTACCCCAGGTTGTCGTTTCGCCGTCGCGGGAGCCGATTGAGCACTGGGCTGGCCTGGAGCGGGATGAGCTATCATAACCGAATAAGGGGTTGCATAAGTACCGTCTGGGTTGACTCTGGTCGGAACACTGCCGTCGGGGTTCGCCTTGGCGCCCGCCTTCTTGGCCGGCGAAGCTTTTGCTGTCGTAGATTTTACACCTGTCACCGGCTTTACAGGCGTTGCCTTGGCTGCTGTTCCCGACGTCACTGCCGTCTGCTTCTTGATCGGCGTGCTGCCAGACGTCTTGTTGACAGTACCTGCGACCTTGCATGTCGGACTGTCCGCTGCCGCATTCTGCCTGACCGGCAGTGGTTTAATCGTCCCAAGGGGCGTGCGCGCCCCAGCTGGTTTGGATGCCTTCTTGACAGGCGTAGCGGTACTTGAAGCAGTCGTTTCAAGCTTCTTTGCACCCACAGGGGTTGCTTTTGCCGGCGTCAGCGTCTTCTTGGCTGCACTCGAAGCAGGCGTGCCAGTTGCATTAAGCTTCCTTGGGACCTTCTTCACAGGCGCCGCAGCTGACGTCGAGTCTGTAATCGTTGCCGCTGGTTTCCTAGCAGCGGCGGCTTTGGTGGCAGATGTCGCCGTCTTGGCTGGTGTCTTTGCGGCTGGCTTCTTTACTGTGGATCCAGCCACTTTGGAAATGTCTCCAACGCTTGCTGTGACGGTCAGCTCGCTGTCTCGGCATGCTGCCGTTTGACCTACATTGAAGCCCAGCATTCTGCTGCTTCAACTGATCCAAGGCTGACATGTTGGGCTGCAGTACACGCGCGTCAATTCAAACAAATATTAGTCAAGTCGGGAAAGGAGTATCCAAGTGCTCAATTCAACGCTGCATCTCGAATATATTCCAACCTGATGGCGGCGGTTCCGCCTACGTCATGTCTTCTCCTGACCCCTGTCGCCACAGAGGCAGCCAGGCGGCCCCTGCTGCGAAGGATCACAGATCCTGTTTTTGCGGACACGGGACGATCATCATAGCGTGCGCGCATTGGACCCTGACCGCGACCGATAACATTGCCACACCACACTTCTTTGCTTCTCTTAGACCTCTGCATCGGACAACCGTCCATTGCTCATGCTTCGACCTTGGCCTCACCCTCTAGCCACTCGTTGCAACACTACACCGCCACGCCACGTAATCGCCTACACAATGGAACCTTTGTTTTTTTTTAAACATTTCATCATTCATGAAAACTACCCATAGGTAACTCTACCTAAGATACATTCGGGATATCCATTTACTCGTGATGCATAAACTTCACCACTCTAAGACGCCATCGAAGATTAACCTTCGTCCATCATGCAAATGAGGTGTAGAAAAAAAGAAAGCCATGACACATGAAAGGGATATCAGAGCGCCGACCAAACTTTTCGAAACCAGCCAGCAGGGGCGATATGCTTAGTCAACCTCCTCCATGGCGCTCTCGCCAGCGGCAGCAGGTGCCTCGGCGGCGCTCTCGCTCTTCTCCTGCTCAGTCTCAACCTCCTCGTCGACGTTCAGGCCAAGGGAGACGAGCTTGTGGATGCGCTCAGCGTACTGAACGGGCTCGTCAATGGTGAAACCAGAGACGAGGAGAGACGTCTCGAAGAGCAGAAGGGTGATGGACTTGACAGTGCGGTCGTCCTCACCGTCGGCCTCGACCTTGCGCTTCAGCTCCTTGATGATGGCAGACTTGGGCGAGATCTCAAACGTCTTCTTCGACGACATGTACGAGCTCATCGACGTGTCACGGAGAGCCTGGGCCTTCATGATACGCTCCATGTTGGCCGACCAACCGAACTGGCCGGTACGGATGGCGCAAGGTGAGCCGACAAGCTTGTGCGAGACAACAACCTTCTCGACCCTGTCGCCGAGAACGTTCTTGAGGCTCTTGGCCAGACCCTCGTACTCCTTCTCCTCAGCCTCGCGAGCCTTCTTCTCCTCCTCAGACTCCTCGAGCTCAAAGTCCTTGGTGATGTCGACAAGCTTCTTGCCGTCAAACTCCTTGAGCTGAGTCATGGCGTACTCGTCAATGGGGTCGACAAGGAAGAGAACCTCGAAGCCCTTCTCCTTGAGAGTGTCGAGGAAGGGCGACTTCTGCACAGCCTTGAGCGACTCACCAGTGATGTAGTACATCTGCTTCTGGTGCTCGGGCATGCGCGTGACGTAGTCGGTAAGCGACGTCTGCTCCTCGCCAGACTTGGTCGAGTTGAAGCGGAGGAGCTTGGCGAGAGAAGCGCGGTTCTGAGAGTCCTCGTGGATACCGAGCTTGATGTTCTTGCCAAAGGCAGAGTAGAACTTGTCAAACTGCTCACGGTCCTCGGCAATCTCGTTGAAGAGCTCGAGCGTCTTCTTGACAATGTTCTTGCGGATGACCTTCATGATCTTGTTCTGCTGGAGTGTCTCACGAGACAGGTTGAGAGGAAGGTCCTCCGAGTCGACCACACCCTTGACGAAGCTGAGCCACTCGGGGATCAGGTCGGTAGCATCGTCAGTGATGAAGACACGGCGGACGTAGAGCTTGATGTTGTTCTTGGTCTTCTTGGTCTCGAAGAGGTCGAAGGGTGCGCGCTTGGGAACGAAGAGGATGGCACGGAACTCGAGCTGACCCTCAACAGAGAAGTGCTTGACAGCGAGGTGGTCTTCCCAGTCGTTGGACAGCGACTTGTAGAAGGACGCGTACTCCTCGGTTGTGATGTCCTGAGGGTTGCGTGTCCAGATGGGCTTGGTCTTGTTGAGCTCCTCCTCCTCGATCTTGGACTCCTTGACCTTCTTGGTCTTCTTCTCCTTCTTCTCATCCTCCTCGTCGACCTCCTCGACCTTGGGCTTCTTCTCGTCACCCTCGGTTGTCTCCTCGGTGGCCTCGTCATCCTCAACCTCCTTCTCGGTCTCCTTGAGGACGTGGAGGTAGATGGGGTACGAGATGAACTCGGAGTGCTTCTTGACCACCTCCTTGATCTTGCTCTCGTTGAGGTAGTCCATCTGCTCATCCTTGAGGTGGAGGATGATCTTGGTGCCGCGGCCGATTTGCTCGCCCTCGGTGTCCTCGGTGATCTTGAAGGTACCACCGGCACTTGACTCCCAGATGTACTGCTCGTCGTCGTTGTTCTTGGAGACGACCGTGACGCGGTCAGCGACAAGGTATGCCGAGTAGAAACCAACACCGAACTGGCCAATCATGGAGATGTCGGCACCGGCTGACAGCGCCTCCATGAACTGTTTTGTGCCGGAGCGGGCAATGGTACCCAGGTTGTTGATGAGGTCGGCCTTGGTCATGCCAATACCGCTATCTTGGATGGTAAGCGTCTTGGCCTCCTTGTTGGGGATGATGTCGATGCGGAGGTCCTTGCCGCTGTCGAGCTTGCTGGGGTCTGAGAGGGCTTCATATCGGATCTTGTCGAGCGCGTCCGACGCGTTGGAGATGAGTTCTCGCAGGAAGATCTCCTTGTTCGAGTAGACGGTGTTGATGATGAGACCGAGCAGCTGAGAGATCTCAGCCTGGAACTCGAAGGTCTCCCCAGACATGGTGGCGGGTATTCGAGGTGTTCGGAGCTGCAGGCAGTAGAGTCAGAGGGCAATTCTTGCAGCAGGCGGCGCCGTAGCGTGGAGTGTGTATTGCACGCAGCAGTGAGTGCGGGGGAAGACGAACAGATGGGCGGGGTAGATGGACGCGGAAGCTCTTCTATCGCGAATAAGAAAGAGCAAGACTGCAGGACTGGGCTGTCTGTCGAGTCGGGAAAGTTGGAAAGAGCAATTTGATGGGGGAGGCAGGCAGAGAAGGCTCGACTTTGGGGCTGATATAGCCTTTGGTGGAGCTCGAGAATCTTCTAGACAGGCCGGCAGAAAGAGAGAGAAGGTCGCGGGCCGCCCAATCAGCGCGCGCCTGCCGCTGCCGTCGCAGCTCACCGCCAAACACGCCTTCCCCGGCAACGCTAGCGGCGAGGGGCAGACGCCCAGGTGGGAGTCCAAGTCGCAGCATCGCGACTTTTGCTTTTCGAGACGAGCCCATCGACTTCCACCGCCATCCGCCTGCCAATGCCACGGCCATGCACGATTCGGCCCGCTGCGGCTGCCATGGAAGCTGCTGGCTATGCCCATCGGCCAGAGGAGAGAGCAATCGCAGTGCAAACAGGTATAAACAAGCTGCCGCAGCCTTGCATTAACAGTCACAGTGCAGCCTCAGCCCCACCCAGCAGCTCCCACGACAAGTGTGTATAGCTTCAACCAGCTGTTGCTAATCCCCGTTAGATACCTGAAATAGAAACGTTACCGCATCCGTCCTCGGCGCGCCATGGCCTACCCCCCTCACGCATCGCAGACGGCCGAACCTGCACGACGCGACAATGCCAACGGGCGCGATTCCATGGCCACGCCCAGGAAGAGGGAAAGACGGTCACTGCCTCAGCATACTCTACATTTGGATTCCTAGATAAAGGTCCTCATAAACTCGCCCAGCGCCATAATAGCCATGGCCTGTCCATACGGCATGCTCGTAATCTTGATGTCCTTGTAATGCTGCAAATCATGGCCCATGGCAGTTCCAAAGCTCGTCTGCGTCAGCTCGCCCTCCGGACTGATCTTGCCCATGACGGCCTTGATCGCTTTGACCGCACTCTGCAGGTACTCGTCTCCGCTGATGTATCGCTTCCTACATGCCTTGAGCATCCCGTATGCGAAGCCTGCTGTGGCCGACGACTCTTCGTAGCTGCCCTCCGAGATGGGGATGTCGAGAAGCGTGCGCCACATGCCGCTCTCCTCTTGGCACTTGACCAGCGCCCGGCACTGCGACTCGAGGATGCCCACAAGGAACTGGCGCAGAGGATCTGTCTCCTTGAGATGCAGCAGCTCGATGAAGTCGGGAATGGCGATTGTCAGCCACGAGTTTCCACGTGCCCACCGCGCCCTGGCAAAGTTGTGGCCGACTTCCAATCCGCCCTTGTCTTCCCATTTCCAGCCGTGAAAGAACAGGCCTGTGCTTGTATCGCATAGGTATTGGCAGTGCAGTATGAACTGGCGCTTCGCCTCCTCTACGTATTCGGGGCGGTTCAGAGTAAGACCAATCTTTGCCAGCGGCAGCGCGCTCATCATGAGCGTGTCGTCCCATAGTTCGTCCTTGTTGTACGAGTTGTACGTCTCGTGTTGGAAGCCACCAAACTTGGTGCGGGGCAATCCGTGCATGACCCACTCGGCCCAGGTATCCAGCCATGGAACAAAAGTCTTGTTGCCTGTCTCTTCATACAGGTACGCCAATGCAAGGAACGGACTCATGGTATTGATGTTCTTGGTCGTGCCCTTGGCCAGCTGCTTGTCGAACCAGCCCTTGATGATGTCGAGCGTCGCCGTGCTGCCCGTCAGCGTGTAGTAGTGCCATAGTCCATACAACCCAATGCCATGTGTCCATTCCCAGCCGTCCCAGCCCTTTGTGTCAATGATGCGCCCGTCGTCGAGTTTGAGCAGAAACTCGCCGGTTGTGTCGTGGATGTTGATTAGGTTATGTGTCAAGAGAAGAATCTTCTCGTCTATTTGGCCTTTTGTTAGGCCATGTACTGTGAGCGTTGACATGGTGAAGGTGAGCCTGTAGGTTGTGTAGATCGGGTAAATCCGTTGACAAGAAAAAGGAGAGGACCAGATCTAGAAGACAACAAGACAAGCTATTACACACGTAGTCGGAAGTGTGGGTATCAGGTAGCTTGGTCAAGCTCATAGAGTGGGGAGTAGGGACCGGGTAAAGTCAGCGTCTTCGAATGCATCCTCTGGAGCCACCATGGGGACTACTACCATGCTTCGTCCCTCTCTCTACCGAGCTCGTTCATCACTGCACCGGTAGAGTCCTTGGCACACGTGGGTTTGCTCCAGCTGCTGGGTATCTGGGGGTCGTGGATCGCCTGCCCCTCTCTGAAATCAAATCTCGAACGCTTGACGAAGCTTTTTTGATAGCCATGTGAGGAGGGCTTCCGTTTTTGCCATACATTGTACCGGTTCTCGTGCATGATTACACCGATGCGTGAGAGAACAATCACGCGAGGCGAGGCGAGGCGAGGATGCCGTGAAGCGAGGCACGACGGCAGCCGCTGCTGGAGAGGCTTGCCGACTGGCTGAGCTTCAAGAAAGGAAAGCTAGCCGCCACCAGGTGGACGGCGGAGAAATCATTCTACCAGCCGTCTCCAGCCTAGCATCCAAGCATCGTGTCTCACTCGCACGAGCTTGATCCAACCACCTCCTCGGTGCCATCTATGCCGACGCCATGCCCTTCTGGGACGCCTGCCAAGCTGTGGCACTCTCCACACTGCTTGATCCTACGTGCACGTGCTTGCGACTCCGCATTGTACGGCCCTCCGCATCTTGTGTGGACGACAGAATCGCGGGGTTGGCTGACTCTAACAACCATCGACTAGCGACGTAGCATTGAAGCCCATTTGGCCGGGCTGGCTGCACGCCTCCGAAGATCCTTTCCCGCCCTGGCAGGGGCGGGATGCGAGAACGTGATTATCAACGGCTAATACAGGCGTGCCGTTGGGGTGCAGCTCTTCGTCACAGCATTTGCGGAGTAGCCTGCCAGCATGGGGTAAGTAGACCAGCTGGCGCTCGGACGCCCAATATAAACTGGGTAGAAATACTTATCACGGTGGATGCGCTCCCAACGGTGAAAGCTGAGCTTCTTTGGCTCTCTTCCTTGTCTTCTTCCCACGCCAATCCTTGGGCAGTCTCTTCACCATGGCTGCTCCCCGTGCCAGCGCCGATAAGGCCCACGACCCTGGTCACGCCGACGATAAGAAGGATATCAGCCAGGTTGAGCGTGTTTTATCCGTTGGCGACGAAAAGGGTGACCACGTCAATTACGACCGTATCGACAAGGAGGTCGCCCAGTATGCCGGCGACACTGAAGTATACATCTCGGAGGAAGAGAACAAGCGCCTCAAGAGGCTGATTGACAGGCGTGTGCTGCCCATCATGGTCATCACCTACTTTTTGCAGGCCCTCGACAAGGGCACCATGTCCATGACTTCCATCATGGGTATCCGCGACGATGTCCCAGTCCTGAAGTCGAACCAGACAGTGAGCTGCCAATTCTCTCAACCTCTGCACAATCACGCCGCTGACTCATGGTAGTTTGGGTGGCTCACCACGTGTATTTACCTCGCTGTGCTCGTCGTTGAATACCCCACCAACTGGATCCTGCAAAGAGTGCCAGTCGCCAAATACCTCGGCTTCAACATCCTCGCATGGAGTACCGTACTAGCCTGCCATGCCCTCTGCTTCAGCTTCCCGGCCCTCGTCGCCGTACGAACACTGCTTGGTGTCTTTGAGGCAGTTTGCCAGCCTTGCTTCCTCATCATGACATCGCTCTGGTACAAGCGCGAAGAGCAAGCTCACATTGTGACATACTGGTACATGATGAGTGAGTTTCCATTCTCTAAAGCTGCAGAAACATGCACTAACCTGGCTTTTAGACGGTATGCAGCAGATTGTCGGCGGTCTGTTGGCCTACGCCTTTTCCCAGATCAGGCATCCTAGCTTCAAAAAAGACCCCGGAAACGCATCGATTCGCTCATGGCAGGCCATTTTCATCACCTACGGCTGCATCTCTTTTCTGTGGGGACTGGTTGTCATTTGGAGGCTTCCTGACAGCCCCATGCGCGCCAAATGCTGGTCTGAAGAGGACAAGAAACTGCTTGTTGAGCGTGTCCGCTCCAACCAGACTGGACTCCAGAACAGAAAGTTCCGCGCATACCAGTTCAAAGAGGCCCTTATGGACCCTCAGACCTACTGCTACATGGGCATCCAGGTCTTTACTACGCTCCCTACTTCCGGACTCGGCGCTTTCTACAACATCATCATCAACGGTCTCGGCTTCACCATCCTCCAGACCCAACTTCTCGCCATGGTTCTTGGTGTTGTTATTATCGCCACACTGATGGGTTCGGCCTGGATTGTTAAGAGGACGAAGCAGAACCTGTTGACCATGGCGATATTCTTGATTCCAGCCTTCACCGGCACCATTGTCATCATGAATGTCAAGAACACCAACAACGCTACCCGTGCCGGCCTGCTCATCAGTTACTGGATTATTTTCACCTTCTGGGCAGCCCAGGGTCTCGGCATGTCCATGTTGACGCGCAACGTCGGCGGCCAAACGAAGAAGTCTGTCTGCATCACCATGAACTTCTTCGCCTGGTGCGCGGGCAACGCGATCGGCCCTAAAGTCTTTTTCGACAACGATCCTCGCTACCTCAAGTCGCTGGCCATCCATCTTGGCTGCTACTCTGCGCTCGTCTGCGTCATCATCTTCCTGCGATTCAACCTCACCATGCGCAACAAGAAGAAGGACCGTGAATTCGGAAAGGAAATTAACAATACGCATGGATTTGACGACTTGACCGATAGAGAGAACCCCAATTTCCGCTACGTCTACTAGATGCTAGCCGAGCGGGAATCATATACTAGTTTGTAATGAATGCAACGATTTCACATCTGTGTATAAAATGTGAAGTTCTATGATATTGCCCATGGGCTACCATCCATGACTCGCACCCCCGTCTATCCATCAACATCGCCCGTCTCATCCATCTTCCGATTCTTCTTGGAATTGCCCTCCAACCCCGCCATCAGCGCTTTATCCTCACCCGGAATCCGCATCTCAAACACATCCCGCACAACCGTGTACTCGTAGTACCCACAGCGTGCAATCGGCTCCGTCTTCTTGATGTCGATCTTGCCATCTGTCAACACGCGCTCGTCGATATGCACGCCGACAACGCGCCCAATCACGACATCGGCCGTCCCCACAGGCGGGTTCCCGGGGAGCCGTAGCGTCGTGTAGTACTCGCATTCGAATTTGATGGGGCTCTTCTTCACCATTGGGATATTCATGGTTGTCTCTTGTCCACCTTCTCCCCCGTCTCGTCGCACCCGCACACTACTCAGCTTGCTATCCTCTTTTTCCAGCCCTGCTTTTGCGAATTCATCCACGCCGTAGGCTTCCTGGACAGCACTCACATTGACGTGCTCCCGCAGCTCGTACGTCGCTAGGTTCCAGACGAATTTCCCCGTTGCCTCGACGTTGCGCACAGTGTCTTTTTGCACGGCCGTTGTCGTTTGGTTCGCGCTGAACATGACGTATGGCGGGTCGAAGGTCAGGTTGTTGAACTGAGAGTAGGGCGCGAGGTTGGCGGTGCCCGTGGGCGACAGAGTCGAAATCCAGCCTATGGGGCGGGGAATGACACATGCCTTAATAGCCATCGTTAATTGCGGGAAAAGCTTTGGATTTGGTGGATGGGGAGAATTTGTGCTTCGGGATTGAAGCAAAGAATTGCTGGTTTTCCTCTAATGGCATTTGTTCCCACAAGTATCGCGTGAAAGGAAATACATTTGCTTACTTACCTTGAATGGATCATAGGGTAGCCCATGGTCGTCTTTTCCGGGTTGATAAAACATAATGTCCCAGCACTCGACCTACGTACGTATCTACCACTGGAATATCTCTTCCTCTTACACAAACGAACCTCCTCTCTCAAATCAAAGGTCTCCGTTATAAATTTGAAAAAAAAAACGAGAACTGAGAAATACGAAATCTACAACCCCTAAACCAGAGACAGGCAGGGGATATATAAAGAATAATGTCCCGCCGGGAACAGATGCTCTCCCGTTCAGGGATCTGTCTTCTTCGGTGGCCACGCAAACGCGGAAAGAAAAGATTGCGGGGTCCCATTTCTAGCGGTCCGCATCGGCAAATACAGGCGGAATGAGACCGTTTTGCTGCACGTCGTACGTACTCGCGCCGCCGCCGCCGCCAAAAAGCAAAAATTCATGATTACACCGTTGTCTGGTTACAGTATGGTTTGCTCGCTATCTCGACAGAGGGGAGTATCCACGTGGGGTGACGTGGTGACGTCATGCGTCAGAGAGATAGATGGGTGGTTACACAGCAGCAGGCCATGTCGAATCAGGGAGTAGCCGCATCAATACTGGGTGGGTTGTATACAGTACTACTCACTGGCATCTTCACATATCAATCTACCTAGTTGTCAATGCATAATACAGCATGGCAACACCCAGCGAAACCATCCTGATAACAGGCGCCTCGTCAGGTCTCGGTCTCGCATTCGTAAAACACTATGCTTCTCTGCCCACACCCTCGTCATCAACACCACCACCCACCATCATAGCGCTGGACAAGCAGCCCTTCCCCCAAACCACAATTCAACCCCCAACCCTGCACTTCCACCAACTCGACCTCACCAGCGCGTCGGAGCTGCAATCCCTCGCCTCGCGCTATGCCCGCACACCGCTGAGCCTCGTGATCCACTGCGCCGGCATCCGCGGGCTCGTCGCGTCCACCGCAGCGCAACAAGCAGCAGGAGAGCGTGAAGTCGCTCGGGCAGAGACATGGCAAGTAATGGACAAAGAGACGATGATGCGTGCGTTTGAGATTAATACCTGGGGAACGTTTAATCTCATCCAAGCTTTCTTGCCCAGTCTCCTTCTTTCTTGTTCTTCGACGCCGGCAGCACGGCCAAGAGTCGTCGTGCTTTCTTCGCGCATGTCGTCGATATCGGCGAATGCGGCTGGCGGCGCATACGCGTATCGGGCTAGTAAAGCGGCGCTGAATGCCGTGGTGAGGAGCTTCGTGATTGATGTTCCGCGTGTGCAGTTTTTGCTGTTGCATCCCGGGAGGGTTGAGACAGGCTTGGTGGCGTGGAAAGAGGAGGGCGCTGTGAGTGTGGAGGAGAGTGTGGGAGATTGTTTGACGGTTTTGGAGAGGATGGGAAAGGAGGAGTGGGTGAGTGGGAGGCTGGTGGATCGTTTTGGGGAGGAGATTGCGTGGTGAGGAGGAATTATAAAGGGGATGGACAAGATGTTGTTAACTGATTTTTGTTTACACATCTAGAGGCTGTGGACATACTAGGGATGATGATGCCGAAGCTTCAAAGACAATCCATAATAATTAAAGTAAGAACTGCCGAAGCATTACCTACTAAGTGTGAAGGAATATGTAAAGTCCATATATATCCCCCTAAATAAAAATATGAACGGAAATTGAATCCCATCAACAGCTTACCATGACAGATGAACAATGATGGAATCATGGCTTCGTCATGTAGGACGTTGTTAATCTTCAGATTACACAGTCGTGACCTGTCCACAGCAGACTAGACTGCGTACTTTTGCCCAGCATTTTGTTATGAAATGCCTCTTGACCCAGGATTGAAATCATTGCTCGTGGTCCGCCATCTTCTCCGCATCCTCTTCGCAAACATCAGCGGGTATGCCTGCCTTGCTTTCTCTTCGGTCCACACCAGAGATTTGTCCTGCGATGCCTAGCCCTCGTTCGATGTTTTGCACCAACCCTTCCAAGGCCCCGAAAATATCACCCTGTTGTTCTCTCGCCTCGTTCAGCTTGTCCACACCAGCCTCACCCTTTCCTTTCCCTTTGTTCTTTCGCGGTATCTCGACGCCTTCGATTCGTAGCATGTAGCCTGGATCCGGCGAGTCCTCGTCGAACGAAGGAGCTGTCCGCACGCCCGTGTCCGTTATTTGCCACTCGGGCGAAAGCGACTGCGCATCCACAATTGTACGTCCGTCTGCCCCTACGTCGACAATAAGGTAGTGTTCCTTGACGCCTGGTATAGGCGGCGGAAACGGTGACTCGACTGGCAGGTCTTGGTCATCTTCCTCTTCCCCTTCTTCGCCCCCCTGATTCTGGCGCCGCTCTCCACCGGCTGGCGCATCTTGTGGCAGATATTTTGTGTCGTCTAGCCCTAAGCCTCGCATCGAGGCTGCAGTGACAATGGTGGGATCGTCGTCGGCGAAGACATAGTGAACGTAGGGATGGTAGTGCTCGCCCGAAGTCGTGTCCTCGATCAAGGCAAAGAAGGGTCGGAAGTTTGGCGGTGGTAGCAGCGGTTGCTCTGCACTGGGCTCGGGATAGGGTATGTCGTCTTCCTCCTCGGGCGCATCGTAAGGCTCCTGTTGCTCGTTAGGCTCGTCGCCTGGAGGATATTCCGGGAGATCAAGGGGCTTGGACCGTGGCGATGGGGTTGCGCGAGGTATTGGAGGTGGTTCTGGAGCGTCGAGGTTTGTGGACATGTTGGGAGAGTGATGGCAGGGTGGAGTTAGTGGAGCTCGGGAGATCAAGCTCTAGGTAGGGTGCATGATCGATAAGAGGGGTGGTCCATGCACAGTACCCTACCCGTGCCAGCGACCAGGAAAGCAGGACGGGATACATGGGGCCGGGGAGCCGTGACTTGATCGGACGAAATATGTGAAGCAATCCTTGGGGTATCAACCGTGTCCCAAACGCCTCTGTCCATGGTTCAAGGAATCCAAACTTGTGCCCCACCAGATGCCCAGCCCCGCTCATTACTGGCACTGGCACTGGCACCAGAAACCCCGCCGTGTTGGCCTCCAAGATGCAAAGGTGAGGGCTAGCTAGTCATGCAGTGTGTCACCAGGAGGCTGGGCTATGGCTTAAAATGGACCTGTATCTGGTTCCTGCGTCTGCCCGGGCGTTTCGGTCGTCGTCGGCGCGTCCTGGCTCTTTGATTTGAAGGCTGCATCGGCGTGTTAGCAAATCTCTGCATTGCGTAGGAAGCAGGGACCCGGCTTACGCTGACGACACATGGGGCACTTTTCCAGGGAGCTCTCTTGCTTCAACCACGAGAAGATGCAGTGCTGGATTGCGGTTAGCAGTGCGCAGACTGGTCTGACCAGGAGCAGCCTACCATGTGGAAAGAATGGTTGCATTCGCCAAGCACTGCGCTTTATCAGTTAAAGACACGAAGAAACTATGCCCAGACTTACACAGTGGACACTCATCACCGGGAAACTTGCACTTGGAACAGGTGCTGTCGTATGGGTTGCGACAGATGCCACACACGTCGTCGTCGGGCATGTCCCAGTGCCAAGCCGCAACGGCGTTCCATTCGCGGATAGTGACCTTCATCGTGTTCCTTTTGGCTCCAAGATTTGACCGTGAGGGAAGGGTTGCGCGTGGACTCGACGCAAGAGGCGATTAGCAGCATCAAAATACGCCGAGGCGGCAGATTGGCTGGCGGTCAGCGGCGGAGATTGGGCGCTCGTTAATTCCGCGAGGGTCTGAGCTCAAGCTTCAACCGCAGCGAAGCTACCACTCCAAGATGCATCCATCAAACGTGCATACTTGGGCGTGCAACACCATATCCGCATTTCTCTATTGTCCTATACTATTCCCGCCTCGTCAAGCTGCCGGCATCAGATCCACCAGATCCACCAAATACTACTGATTGTAATGGCGCAATACCTGCCTCAAGCACGCCTTGGCCTTTCCCTGGTCGCCTGCCCCGCACTTATCAACAGCTTACACCAGCCCCTCAACTTCGGTCGACAAATATTGATCGCGGAGACCATGACCTCGCCGTCTACTCCACTTATCTCTGCTACCTGTGCCCATCCTCGCCGACTAACTTATCTCGAATAACCCACGGCAATTGACTCTCACAGCTTCCGCCATGTTCGTCTCACGCTTTCGCTGTTCCTTGCAGCCCCTCTCTTCCGTGCCGTTCCTCCAGCTTCCCGTCTCTGTAGCCAGCAGGCGCACAATGTCTTCACACCACAAGCTCCGCTCTTACCTTGTTTCTTCAGCAGAGCTCAGTTCGGCTCTGAAGCTCAATGCCAGCAAGCTTTCGCATGAACCTCGCATCATCCCTCTCTGCGCATCCTGGTTTCTTCCCAATGACGACCGCAATGGCTACGAGACCTTCCTTGCACAGCACATCCCTCATTCTCAGTTCTTCGATCTAGATGCCATCAAGGACATCCACTCGCCATACCCGCACATGCTTCCCTCTGCTTCAGAGTTCGCCGACGCAATGAGACAGCTGGGTATTCGTCGAGATGACAGCGTAGTCGTGTACGATACCAAAGAGCTAGGTATCTTCTCTGCTCCACGCGTAGGCTGGACGTTGCAAGTCTTTGGCCATCCAAAGGTGCACGTGCTCAACAACTTTCGCAAGTGGGTCGAGGAGGGCTACCCTACGGAGAGTGGAGAGCCTAAAACGCCCGAGAGGTCTGAGTACGAGGTACCACAGCTGGAGGAAAGCAAGGTTGTGGCTTTTGAAGAGGTCAAGGAGATTGCCAAGGAGCTTGGTAAAGAAGGTGCAGATGAGGTGCAGATACTGGATGCGAGGAGCCTGGGCAGGTGGAAGGGCGTCGACCCAGAGCCCAGAGAAGGTATACTAAACTATGCAGAACAAGCACATGGCTACCTACTGACTGCTACAGGTCTATCGTCCGGACACATTCCCTACTCCATCTCTGTGCCAATCACGGATCTCCTTGACCCCAACGACAAAACCTTTCTCCCTGCCCCCAAGCTCAAGGCTGTCTTCGAATCCAAGGGCATCAAGCCTGAATTGCCCATCATCAGCAGCTGCGGTACGGGTGTCACCGCAGCCATCATCGATGCTGCACTGACTGAAGCCGGATACCCAACACAACAAAGGCGCTTGTACGACGGCAGTTGGACTGAGTGGGCACAGCGCGTCAAGCCTGGTGAGGGTCTGATCCGCAAGTCAGAGTAGATGATTTGAGTACTGGAGTTGATGTGATACATGACCAGTTTTCCTGGAGAGGCTCGAACCCATTTCTTCCATGTGTAAATAGCTTTTTTAGTTAATCTTGACAGCACAACAATGTATGACTTATCCTTGTAGAGAGACTGAGGCGACAAAGAGTAAGTATTAAAATGAGTGTATCTTGATAATACAAAATGTCCGGCAGTGGTGTGTAGGATCATGAGCCAGCGAAAGAGACACCACGAACCCAAATCCTCATACATCCCAAATACGCACCATGGAAAATGCCACACATGCATACATTTCATCACCCATCTGCACAACTACGCTTGCTTCTCTCCACGCTCCTGCATCTCTGAAGCCCCATTATCCCCCTGTAGAGTCTTCATCTCCTCGGACATCTTTCCATTACCATGACTCTTCAACTCGGCCATTGAAATCGGCGGTCTCGCTTTCCCAGCCTTGTTCCGCGAGCCCGACTTGACCATTTCCCCCTCGAGCGTTGCAACCAACCGCTGAAGCAGCCACTGAGTCTCCGAAAGGTTGCCCATGAGCGGGCTGCGGATCCCGAGCCAGCTCCACGCTTGCCTCTTGCTGTCGTCTGCCGATCCGATATCCGGTGCGTCGCTGTCTTTGTGGTGGTGTGCATGGACTTGGGGTTTCCGGTGGAGCGACGCGTCGCTCTCGTTCTGGCCTATCAACCGCAGGTAGTACTGCCACTCGTGGTATTCGTACTGCTTTGGCGGGGAGCTCTCCAGGTCCTTCATGAGGTGGCGGATCTCCTTGGCCAGGACAAAATGGTAGAAGCGAGTGTCGCGCTCGAGCTCGTCTTCACCTTCGTTGGCATCTGCTGACCTTCCAAAGTCTTCTTCAATGTATGCCATCAGCCGGTCCCGGGCATGTTGCTCACTTGAGCCGGCAGTATCGTCTCGATACGCTGCCTTATCCCACTTGCCTGTCTTGAGTCTTTCCCACCCAACTTTGAGTGCAGTGCTTAGTCCCTCTTCGTCTGGCAAGACTGTAAGCGAGCCAACCCAGATGGTAAAGTCTTTGAAGGTCTTGATGACGGTATCGCCCATATTGGAGATGAGAATCGTTAGAGTCGGGACAGCAACTAAACTCCAGAACACGGTAAAGGCCCTGCCGGCATTGCTCTGAACGACATAGTCTCCGTAACCAATCGTAAGGAGCGATACGTAGGAGTAGTATAGAGCAACAAAGTAGGTGAAACCCTGTGGCTTCTCTGAGCACCAGAAGACCAGAGCTCCAAGGAACCAGAGCAATAGCGCCGCTGTTGTTGACAAAGCCAGGGCGGTGTATCTTCGCTTTCTTTCGGATAGCTCTTGCACGCGTCGCATAACGCGAAATTCTTGCTCACGTCTCTGAGACTCCTTCAACCCTTTTGTGCAGAACTCTATCTTTTCGAAGAGAGAAATGCGTATGGTCTTTGTTTCTGTATCGATGGACTCGATGACCCTTTGTCTCTTGACTTCGGTGAACCGAGCTGTCATCTTTTGTTTCCCATGCTCCAGCACAAGCGACCTGATCGATCCGATGACCAAACCGACCATGACGAGCCCACCAATAGCATATGGTATCAGCAATGAACGGCCGGTATGCGTTGTCGGGACGAGCTCTCCACCGTATCCAATTGTGAGTAACGTAAAATTCGCCCAGAAGACCGAGTCCAAGAACATCCAGTTCTCTATATAAGAGAAAACCAAAGCTCCGAGAAGGAGGTAAACCATAAAGGCAATGGTCTGCAGCATTAACGTTCTTTGGCTAGCGGTTAGTCGAAACTCGCGATCATAGTGCCCCTTGTATGCTCCAAAGGCGGTAAATGCCATGAGCGATGCAATGATGAAGTAAACGCCAGCAGCCATTATGGCGTAGTAGTAAGCCTGGCTCAGTGCGTGTTGTTGCATGGGCTGGATACGGAACACCGGTGATGAGGCCACGCCAACGAGCGCCATAAGGAGGAAGCCTGCCATGTAGAACCCGATGATGGTGATCGGCTGCGCAATGGCGAATTTCAGTCTCCGTGACATGTTGAGAAGTAGACTGGCATTTGCTGATAGCGCAAAGATGAGAGACACAGAGTTGACTGCAATGAGCCATCTCGGATCCTCGATTTTGGTCCCATGCGCCTCATCACTGCCTGGAGGAATGTATACTCTCCACTTTTCGACAAGGGCACATATAGACATGCCGTTGGCAATCGGCCCTTTTGCTCCATCAGAACGAGGTAACAAGGGTATAGTGAACTAATACTCACCAAAGGTTCCCGCTATGAGTGGACTTGCTGTAGACGCAAACCACCATCGACTAAGCTGGTCAGCCTACGCTAATCACGACAATGATACTGGGAGACATAACTTGGGTCGAGAAACTGGCGCTCCTCTCGTTCAGCCTGCTCATCCTCCACTTGCATGGTATTCTCGACATCCTGAGCAGCCTCTTGGGCAGGCTCATCTAGTCCAGGGTCGTTCATGGTCCGTCAAGTATCGAGGTTGGGGTGCTTCGGAGATTTGAAAAGGATCGAGCTGGGTGCATGTCGCACGAACAGGGAATAATATGGGAATTCGAAATGCCCTCCTGCAAGATGCATATGGTGCACGGGAAGCGCGCATGTGAGATAAACAAGATCGGAGAGAGAGAGTCGCGTGGACGCGCAGAGGTGCAATGACGTAGGGGCTGACCAGGATTCTTGCGCGCTTCCACCAATCGTTGTTACGGCATGGAGACGACTTGGGCAAGGCTGTGTGGTTCTGCCACGCTTATCAGCAACACAAAGGGTTTCACAGACAGCTTTACGTGTCTAGACTCCTCTATGCAATGTTTCCCGACGTCATCGCCATTGGGTTTCTATTGCAATGTTATTGAATCTGATCGCTTGATGTACATGGTCTCCGGATTCTGTTCGTTGGTGGATCAGCGAGTGTATGCTGACTTTCCCTTCAGCAGTAGTACGCATCTCAGTCAAATTTCCTATAACATACAGTAGGATACTGGTGTTTGCTTTAGTATAGATCTTTCGGGTCTGTATTGTTAATATACTACATGCTGTTTTGGTGGGGGCGGGCGCAACTAAACATATTGGGCAGCATTCGTAGCGCTTAGCAAAGAGTTAAAAAAAAACAGGAGACTCTAAACGACTTTCTCGTTTATTGCGTATTATCTATTGACTGTCGTTTGTGTGTCTGCTCCCCAACTTGCCCTTCCTGCAATCCGAAACGGAGACAATAAGCTCGGTAAAAGGGTGACTAGGAACTATGTAGCAATACCGTCACTGGTTACTTCAATCGTCCAAAATCAGCCTTCAACTCCACACCTCCATAGTCATCCAAAACCTTGCCTCGATCCCATTCCCTAGCTTCTCCCTTGCCCTTCCAAACCACATCCTCCTCGGTTTGTTCCTCGCCTTTCTCCCATTTCCGCACTTGCTCATGGGTAAATCCTGCGGACCTGAGACGCTCAGCGCCCTGTTGCCTCCAACGCGCGCGGTCACGCATCGCCTCCAGGGCGTCGCCCCAGTCGTCTTCATTGTCAGAGCCTGCACGGACATCGATGGTAGGATCGTAAGTAGATGAGAAACGTGACTCAATGCCCATGGAATTTGGTTTGAAAGCACCGCGGCCTTTGGAGCGGACCGTAGGTTCAGGAGGTGGCGGGAGCGGACCAACAATGGCTTCGAGAGGGTCAGAATCGGATGCTGGAGAAGCGGCGCGTCGTTTAGAACCTGCACCATCTTCGTATTTGCTAGGTTTACGTTGTGGGCTTTTCCCCAAATCCCTGGAATCATGCCTTTTGTGCCTGCGCCGATGTTCGTGTCTATCAGAGTGCGGTGGTGGCGAGCGGGATAGCGAGGTTGTATGCGAGTATGATCTACGACTTCTGTGTCTGCGATCTCCGTGGTCTCTTCTGCGCGACCTTTGATGGCCATCAGTGTCGCTTCCTTTGTGCCCATGGGACCGGTCGTAGGGCGATCTTGATCGTTTACGTTTGCCCCGAGAATAGTCCTCGGCTTCACTGTCGTATCTCCGCTTATGGCGCCTCCTGTCTCGGCTTCTGTCCCGATGTCGGCCAGATGATGATTTCCCAGACGCCTCCTGCTCCCTGCTTCTTCGCCGTCTTCTGTAGCCATCTTCATCGTCACTATAGTCACGCCGTCTCTTTGAACGTGCTCTTGATGGCTCATCGTCCCCTTCCACTGGAGTCAGCCTCCCACTGGCCCTTCTTTTTCGCTCTTCTTCATCACGTGTCTCTGCTCTATTTCGTTCGCGGTTCATCGTCCTCAATCGCGCACGAGACTCTTCTGCCTCCTTTGCAAGTAAGGCGGCATTATGACGGTCTGTCTGACGAATAATGTTTCTCAAAAAGCTCTTGTTCGGCTTCGGGGCACCGGAATTCGCTCTGCCAACCATTAGTAAAGGACGCGCATATACACAGAGTGTTGATGTACTACAATGCTTATGCAGTGGCATGGCCGGTACACGTAGGCTCGGGACGCACCTCCTCGGGTTGAAGGCATCGATGCCGACAAGCTCATATTTCTTCTTCGCGTTCTTCGCGTCTTGCTTCAGTAGCTCTGCAACATATTCATCGTCATCGAGGTTTTTGGCCATGCTGAGAGTGTTGTTCTGGAACGGGAACGTGCGAGAACTGTCAAAGGGCGAGCGAGCTTCTGAGAGCCGTGAGATGGATCCAGGCAGCGGGTCAGACTAGTCCGCATGCGGTAACCGCCGCGGGGAACTCTGCGTGTGGGTGCTGGCGCGACATTCACCAAAACAAACATCATAAGTACTTCCGCTACACCCCTCAGAAGACAGCATATAGTAGGCAAGATGGGCCCCAAAAAGAAATCCGCGACACCGACTCCGGCATCGGCACTGGAACAGCTACAGAAATCGCAGTCACTGAAGCTTCTGGAGATTGCCGAGACATTGGCTCCAAAGGACCTCCCGCAAACTGGGAAGAAGCGCAACTCTGGGGCATCTGAGGACAGCGAACAGAATAGCGACACACATCCAGCCGCCCTTGAGGCTGATCTGACACATTACAAGGTATGCAGAACATTTCAGCCAGCTGCGGAGCCAATCTCATAGCAATCGCAGGAACTCTTCAGCAAACTCCGCTTCAGCTATGTTGAACAAGTCACCAAGGAAAAGTTCTTGCGCAGCATCACCGAAAACCCGCCTCGGCTCGTCGACGCCCACGAGAACGAGGAAAAAGAAAAGGAAATCCTGGGCCTGAAAGCAGAGCTCAAGGAGCGCAAGTTGGAAGTGGCGGACATTTTGCAGCAGCTGGAGGAAAAGGGAAAGGAGCTCGCGATGCGCTACGAGGGGGTGCAGCTACGCACACAGCAGCTCGAGTCCCTTCCCACTGAGATTTCAGGGCTAGAGGCCAGCATTGAGCAGCTGAAGCACGAGCAGACGCCAGCCTCAGCAAACCCCGAGCTTGCGCTTCCGCTGCCCGAGACCCAGCGGGTGCTCAGTGAACGAGAGGCGGAGCTTGCCGCGCTGAACGTGCAGATTGCCACGCTGCAGGCTACGATTCCAAACCGAAGCCGGGATCTGGAGAAGCTGGAGCGCGAGCTCAGGCCGCTGGAGACGCAAAAGCAAGGGACGGTCGCGGCGGCCAAGGAAGCTCAGAGACGCAAGGAAGAGGGCGGCGGGATTGGAGACGAACTGGAGGAGAGAGGCAGGTGGCTGCGGGCGTCTGAAAAGGCGCTCAAGGAAATGCTCGAGGTAGACTGATGACGTCTGCGCCGGGGCAGTGCAGCAGGATGCATGGCGGTGGGCGGCGTTGTGGGAGTCGAGATACCACTGCTTTGGAATGGCGATTGCTGTTTCTTTTCTCTTCTTTTGTTTCTGGCAGTGACGCTGGCACGGGCAATGCACTCGGCGCAGGCACGCAGGGAGCTGCTAATGCGGACGGTGTGTAGGATGCCTGTACATTATACTGTGTGGAGGTGAATGCCGCGGCTCGCCTCACTGCCAGCGCATCGCCGGCGCCGGATGGCCCGTCGCGCTAGCGGGCCTCGGTCGCTTCAAACAGCAATACGGCGGCTGGGGACAGGGGCGCGGCGCGCGCTGATTGGCCCGCCCCAGCCACTCACCGCCATGAACCTATCGATTACGTTGCCTGGCCAAAAAAACTCATAAACACTGCTGCCATGGCTCCACTACCGGCGGCTGCTTGAGCTGGCTACCGCCTGCGCCGTCCCAGCTCTTCTGCACAACTCGAGAGGACACACTCGACAACCCCCTCGCCTGTCCTCGGAGCCTCTTTGCCCAAGCCGACGTTGGAGAGCTCGGTGCCACGAGCTGACGTTCCCCCCACCACGCGAGCTGTCCACCCGGACACGCTCAGAAACCCACCACTGCCACGCTCGACCAGCCTCCGCATTTTGACCGCGCGAGGGCCCCGTCGCGCGCTTCTTACGCCTGTAACGACGTCACGACCCTCTGCTTCCTTGTTCATTGCTATTGCTACATGCGCGCATTGCTATAGCGACCATTTGGCTTTTCCATTGTTGCACACATACCCGCCCGCCTAGGCTCCACGACTGTTAACGGCCATCACGACTCCCTCCCAGCCATGTCTAATGGACTCTCGGAGCCCGGGACGAGTGTCTACTCGTCCGGCTCCATGTATGTCGGAGATGGAACATGGGACTCGCAGCGCAACACCTTCTTGCTGCCCAATCTGCAGGGCCTCAACTTCGAGACGATGCGACTGAATGGTACGAAAGCGCTGCTCTCACGCATCAAAGGGAGAAGCTGACCTGTTAGGCATGGGCAATCGCTTTCGTAGCATGGCCAGCTACAAGGGCCTCATCACGGCTCACGGTGTGTTGGCCGTCATTACGTTCTTATTCGTAATCCCTGCTGCCATATTCATGGCCCGTTTCTACCACCCAAACCCGCGCGCCGCACTCAAGTTCCACATCTGGCTGCAGGTCTCGGCGGTACTCCTCTCTACTGCTGCCATTGTCTGCGCCTTCCAAGCCGTGGGCCTCGAGAGGTCTCTGACCAACCCGCACCATGGCATTGGCGTAGCCTTGTATACTCTTGTTCTCGTGCAAGCCTTTGGTGGCTCGGTCATCCATAGACTCGAGAAAGGCAAGGAGAGATTCAAAATCCCCCTCACGCTCATGGTATGCGCAGAACAGCCAAACCTCTGACTCTCACTAATGCCCGTAGATTCATCAATGGTTAGGACGAGCAATCGCGCTGCTTGGAGTTGCGCAGATTCCCCTCGGTCTAACGCTCTACGGCTCACCACTTGTCCTGTTTATACTCTTCGCCGTCTGGACTTTCATCTTGGTGATCCTCTACTTTATCCTTGCCTACAGGGGCCAGCCCCGAATTGACTTGGACGATCGCAGCACCTATATAAGCGAGCGCTCGTACAGTACCAGGCTAAGTCGCCGAAGCAGGGGTCCTGGAGCCGGAAAGTATGCTGCAGCAGGAGCAGCAGGGGCCGGGCTAGCTGCACTGGGCTCAAGATCTCGAAGTCGGACTCGCAGTCGACATGGCGGAACTGTTCTTAGCTCCCGGCCTGACTCTCGTTCCCGCAGGGGGTCCCGCTCTCGTGTTACTGATTCTGAGTTTACCGAGTCTTACCTAAGCGACGAAAAGTATGGCGACGACCGCAAGAAGGGTCCCAGCTGGAAAGACCGTCTCCTAGGAGCTGGGGCCGCTGTTGGAGGTATTTTTGCTGCCAAAAAGCTATTCAGTCGAAAGGAAAAGCGTCCTCCGACCGAAACCGGAAGCGATTTTAGTTACAGCCGTCCTTTGGGCCCTTCCGAAGTCACCCAGACGGATATTTCCAGGCTCGAAGAAGGAAGAGCACCTGAATCTCCAGCACACCGTCGAGACGACTGGCGCCGCGTTGAAGAACGGGATACCCAAGTGTCCGGAATGACCGGAAGTAACCTACGATCAAACCATCGCCCAACTAGAAGTGTGACATCGATAGACTCTTTTGACAGCCGAACAAGCTTCAGCGACGAAACCGACATGAGGCCCAAGGACCGTTCATACGGAGTGAAGGAAGGAGTCGCCGCCCTTGGTGTATTTGGCTTTCTCAAACATTCTCTGAGCAAACGCAGCAAGAAGAAGGAAGACCAACATGTAGAGGAAATGAGAGAGCAGGATTTGGAAGAGGAACGCATTGCTCGCATGAACAGCCAACGCCGCAAGTATACTGGTGATGGAACACCTCCACGCAGGGGCGGTAGGCCTCCGTCGACTATCCTTTCGGACAGCGAGTTGACGGGTATCACGCCTTCAGTAACACGCCCGCCCATGGACTCTACCCTCACGCCATCAGTCAACCCCAACCGGACCCCTCGTACTGGTGTTTACAGTGTTTTGTCAGACTCTGGATCAGAAGCCTATGACTCCCCTGGAGGTCGCCGTCACCAACGACGTCGCACTACAGACGGCCCAGTGCTACCACCTGGAGCCGCAGCTGCAGGAACCATCACCTCCCCATCCAGGAAAGATCATCATCGGCGCAGAGGCAGCAGAGACGACGTGGCATCTCCTCCTGTATCCGTCAAAGTCAAGATGCACAATGATGGGCGCCATGTTACTTTGCGACGACTCAATGAAGAGGAGGCAGCAGCGGAGCGGGAGGCAAGAAAGAGGGATCGCCGAGGCAAGAACCGTGCCGGCAGTGTCAGTTCATTAAGCGGTATCGGAGGTGACCGCTGGCGCAGGACCGAAGCCATGGAAGCAGCACAAGCACAGGAAATGGCACAGCAAGCTGGCATACCACCACCTCCACCAATGCCCAATTCAGGACCTCTGCGCATGCCCGAGGCTACGATTCCCCCAAGTGGAACTCCAGTCTATGGTCAGGACGGCAATATTCCTCCACCGCCACCCATCCCAGGCGCAGCAGACACTGTCTTGAGCAGTCCTCCTGGTACTCAGATCCATGGCACAGAGACAGATCTGAGCAACTATGACACTAACAGGCGTCGACGAAGGGCAGAAAGAGCTCAGGCCAAGCAGGCCAGGCTGGGTGGAAGTCGAGTCGAGTTTTCTTAGTTTTGATGCGTGTGTGTGTTTTTTTATAATGACGGGAAAACGTAAGCAATGAGGACCATGTATGTGCGCGCGACCTGCATTTTTCCCGGCGTCATGCTGTGGTTGTACTTCACTTTTTTGTTCTTTCTTGATGATTTTGCGTGTTGCTCAGTTCAGCGTCATGTCAAGTTGGATTCCCCCCAAGTTCCAATAGATTGAGAGATAGTCTTTGTGTATAAAATAGATGATTTGTGCCTGTTTACAGTGAGCGTGCTTGATTCTGTCTGTTTTGTGTGCTGGTGCTGCGGGTTGTGGGTGTTGCGAAATCAGCATCTGATGTGCTGTGAAAGCTGTGAGCTGGCACTTTTACCGCCACCTAAGGTGTGTGAGTGAGTGAGTGAGTGAGTGAGTGTGCATGTCTGTCTGTTTTAGCCTGTAGTCTATCTTTGTGTTACTGCTTTTCCAAAAAAAGACTTGATCACCCATGTTTCCGGAGAAGCTTGATTTGCTCCATGCGGCTGAGGTTGATGAGTCATGGACAGAATTTTACTAAAACAGCACACGTTTTGTGCCATGACAACGAATGAATGTACATGGAACTTTTGTGGAATACTTGGTCGTGTGATCGAATGCCACCGGTATCAACGGCAGGGGTGTCATCTTACCGCACGAACTTGTTCAGTCACTGGCCCCCCCCAGCTTTTTTTGTTGAGGAGAAAAGCTGCTTGATATGCGCCAAGTGGCGTGGGTCCATGTCGAGTACATGAGAAAGCATGGATTGGCTTGCAAGAGCTTTCCTTTCTTTTTCCATCATGATTCCGAGTGAGTGGATGAGGGCTGCAGTGACTTGCAGTGATTTGATTGCTAAGTGTGTGCGGGACAAAGTTTATTTGCAAGGTCACCTGGTTCAAGTTAGACTGCCAACCCTACCTGCATGACTACATGCTATACCTACGTAGGTCGTTGATACCTTTGACAAACTAACACCAGAAGCTTGTTGCTCAAGGAAAGCCCTGGGGGCAGACAGAAACCGATCTGTACAATGCGTGTGTGCGAGGCATTTTCCGGATGGAATGGAATATATGACTGAAGCCAGCCATTGCATGTGCTTGAAGGAAATAAATTGAATAGACTGGCTGGCTGGCTTGCTTGCTGGCTTGCTTGCTTACCAATATATGCCCATGAGACAGTGGCGAGAGCACGTGTTGGATGGGTAGTTGATTGACCGTGTTTCACGTCCCTGTCATAGTCTTTCTCCAGAGCATGATTTCAAGCAGCATTGCTCGTACAAGCACACTGAAACCCTTACAGGTGAGACGACATGTGGCGGACAAAGTAGGCCAGGGGCTAGAGAGGCATGGTGGTGTTGCTGGCTTGGGCAAGCTTTTCCAGAAGGAGTAGGCCATTGGGCTCTGTGATGTCTACGAGAAAGCCACGGTGTAAGGCAGGCTCGGGTAGCGTGCCGCGAATGGCGTAGGGCTGGATATGCAGCAACGGGGCCTTGGGCCATTCTAGGCGACGGTGTATATTTTAGATTAGATGGACTCGACACATGACTCGCCTGTCAACAGTGGGAGTCCTTACACGGCTGAAGCAACACCAGGCGTTGCTGAGACGCTGCTTTTGGGGCACATGGGTGTGTGTGTGTGTGTGTGTGTGTGTGTAGGTACTTGGGGGGGCGGGGGCTGGGCCTTGGGTCGACAGTGCGTATAGGGCTGGGGGGGCGTACGGCAGCAGGCAGGCCAGGCACGGGCGAGGGCGTGGTGGAAGAGGCAGAGAGAGGCGTGGGAGCAGCAACGAGTGAGGTTGGGCTCCGCGGAACAGAGCGCCAAGCATCACGAAGGTACGGGCAGATGGAGCCGCTAGCGAGGCAGGAGCGAGGAAGGTGCATTCGACGAGTACCCCGGATCTACAGCAGGAGCCTCACGACGTTTCCATTTCCCTCTACTAGTATACAGCGGCCGCGACATGCTCAATCTCGTCGTGCCTCTCTCCCTAATTCTATTCGCCATGACGTCTAGCGCAAACGTAACCCGTCGGCAGGCGCCCTACTCGTGGAGGCGGGTCCAGCCTCTCTCATTCGTGGTCTCGACGCCCTCGCACCAATTTTGATCGCTGCCGGCAGCATCTCGGAAGCTTGAACGCCTCGATCCGCTGGTGGAGTCCGCAAAAGGCCCTTTAGGGAAGAAGATATAAGTTATGAGAACGTCGCCGCCGCCGCGACGCGACAAGACGACGGCGGTGCTGCTGGCCCGTACAGTACATGCATACATACATCCAGACAGCCAGCCAGACAGCCAGCCAGACAGCCAGACAGCCAGACGGACGGACGCGGCACTCGACGACGCCTCGTGACGGATGCGGCGACCCTATGTGAAGCCCCCTCGCCCCTTCTTCGCTCGCTACGCCTATCAAGGATCTTTTCCGAGCCTCAACACACGGGTTTACAGCTGCGCCTCGCTGGAGCTACCCATCTGATACAAGGCCGATTCATGGTTACAGTCTCTTCGCGCTCTCTCTATGTCCGGTGCTTGAGCTGTGTCGAGTGGTTGGGTAGCATGACGACGGCTGCGGCAACAACGACCCTTGCCGCCACATAACACACGCAGCGATGGAGCCTCTTGCTTGTCGGCGCCCTCGCCCTCGCCCTCGCCCTCGCACACACCCACACGCAGCCCCCTCCAACGCACCCCCCCTCGCTCCAACGCCCGCTGCCCACGCGCTGCGGACGCTGCCCAAGCAGTACCGGTCCCTTGCCTGCGGGACCGAGGCGGTCAGTTCTAACTTCAGACTATGTTTCTTGTCAGGCACATGCGCCACGCCTGATACCGTCCCGCGCAAAGGATATTGGTGACGCGCCCTCCAGCCATGTCGGCAGGCTGCGAGGCGTGCGGCGCGCAGGCAGGTTTCTTCTGGAGCCCCCCAGGCTTGCGCGCTGAGCAGACGAGATGCCTGAGGGGCAGCGCACCTTTTTCATTCCTGGACATGCGCCTTTGGATGTTCGGGAAAAATATCGCAACAACCCAGGGCATCCATTACGGGATACCTGCCCAGCGGGGCAATCTCGGCCAGTTACATGTCGCCCTAAAATCACACTAACATGAAGCTCCCGTCCGCTGGCAGGAACAAACCGTGCCATCGCTGCCGCATGCCCAGCGGTCAGCCTAGGATGTTTCTCCAAGCAAGGTCCAGCCAGCAGACCGCCTAAGCCCCATGGCCTGCGGCCGTGTGGTAAGCGTTAGACCGGCTTCCGACGCGCTGCCCTGCAGACTCTTTCCCCAGTCCGTGGCACCAGGGACTCAGGCCGCTTCTCCATGCTAGGTCATTGGACTCGCACCTCACCAGCCCCATCCCGGCTGGTCCAGTGATGCTAACTAGTTGAGTCTAATATGCACTTTCGACGCTTGGGCTTTTCAATCGTCCAGGTTAACCAGGTGCGAATGAGCGTTCATTCAAGCACAATGACACAAGGAACCTTCTATGATAACTCCCCGAATGTAGGCGCAACATGTCTGTTGTACTAAAAGGAACCAGCGGATCCGCTCGGCAACTGCATCCCTCATCAAGTAGATGACGAGACGTTCCCACACTAGCTTGTCACTTCCTCATGGCTTCCAATCCTACCTCGACTGCTCCAGTCAAGCGAGCCTGCGACAGGTACGTACCGCTGGTACTCGCTCTCCCGTGCCCTCACCTCGCTCACACTGCCGCCCCCATAGCTGCCACCGAAGAAAGGTCAAGTGCATCGGCGAAGGCACCGCTCCATGCAAGAACTGTGTCTCGGCTGGCCTTGCATGCACCTACAATGCCATTCCCCAAAAGAAAGGCCCCAAGGGCAGTCGCGCCAAAGTCCTGTCTGAACTCCGCGAGACGCAGCGCAACGCCCAGCTGGCCGCTGGCTTCCCAACCGACCTCGGCTTCGATGGACGCTCACTGCCCGCCACCTTTGCCCGTACACAAGGCCTGCTGCCCCCCGCTCTAGTCGAGAGCTGCATAGAATACTTCTTCAACCATGTCTACCCCTCGGAGCCCGTCCTGCACCGCCAACGGGCCCAGGAAGCCGCCGTTGGTATGGACCGCTCGACAGAATCCTACTGCATGATAGTCGCACTGTGCGCATACGTCATGATTCAGGCAAACCACAAGCCACCCGTCAGCGTACTGCCTCGTCCCGAGATGGCTCACATGTCAAATGTCGGCGTTGGCCACATATTGCTGGAAGAGTCGGTGCGCGTGCGCCAAGGTTACGACCACCGCGAGAACCCCACCCACATGAGCGTCCTCACATCGTGGTTTTACAGCGGCTGCTACTTTGGATTGGCGCGGGAGAACACAGCATGGACATATCTTCGAGAGGCTACAACACAGGCCCAGCTGCTGGGCATGCATGACGAGGAAACATACAAGCACGATCCCTTGGACGTGTCACGAAAGCGCGTCCTATACTGGCTCTTGTTCATCGCTGAACGGTACGTGTCTTTCTCCCCCCCCCTCCCATACGCCAGTGTGCTTGAATCTCGCACTTGTAACCTCGTTTTTTTTCTAACTGTGCTCGTTGGATAGGACCTATGCTCTACACAAACATCGCCCCATCACATTACACCCTACCATACATCCTCCTTCATTAGACGAAGTCCCGACCGACCGACCAATTGCCGTTGGACTCGAACTCATGATCAACATGTTCAAAATCATCGACGACACCTTCATCAACATCTGGAATCGAGTGCACAACACACATGTCAGCGCTGCATGGATAACACAGGTTCAGACGCAACTTTCCGAAGCGGTGCCCGCATATTTCGAATGCAGCGAAGCGCAGGAAGTGCAAATCCGCATTACTCAACAGTGGCTCAGATCCCAGACCTGGCAGCTTAGTGTCTGTCAAGGGCTGGTGAGCAGCGTGTCGAATGACATGCCGCTTACGTTCAAGTACCCGATCGAGATTGCCCGGGATCTCCTTACCATCTCGCACCAATTCTCGCAACAATCCATGGAAATCCACGGCGTAGGTTTGGTAAGTACACAGGCTCATTATCCGTTCATGCATGTTCCTGTCTTTTGGAGTTCGTCCCCGCTCCAGCCCCTCCGTCTCGTGCACACATCCCTGTCGTATTTCGATCTTACTAGGGCCGCGCTAGGCAACGTCTATCTCTGACGTCCACGCCCTGACTAGCTTAGCCTCCCTTGTCGTCCCTGCACACCCCAATCCTTGCCAGCGTTTTACCCTATCTGTCAAGTCAGCCATTAGCTAACAGCATTGCAGATCGAGAAATTATTCGACATAGCCTGCTGTCTGACGGATGTGGTGGCTTGCACATCTTTCTCACCAGACGCGTTTGCGTTGGGGCCTCGCGACTACGTGTCACGGTTTTTGACCCTCATCTCAACACTGCGTGGGGGGCAATCTCGATACCTTCCACTCCTCCTCGCCAAACTCTCAGAAGTCCTCCCCAACTTACCGCTTCCCCGATCCCTCAACCTCCCCCAGACGGTTCCCGCATCGACGCTCGGCCTTAATGCTACTGGCTCGGGCACCCTTCCCTCCAACGTCGCCGAAGACTTCTCGGCAAGTCCCGCCTCATCTTCACCCTCGTACCATTCAAACGACCTGATTCGTCGGCTGGCCGCCCAAACTGGTGCCCAACTCCCCTTCAACACGACTCAGCAATCCATGATCCCAGCCCCCACGACCCACGTCGGTGATCTGTCTCTGTACGACTCTTCACATAGCACGTCACACTCGACTAGCACTGCCAACAGAAGCACCTCGACGACACCTGGTCCATACGAAGCGCCCATGTCACAGCCACGGTCGCAAATTGTTGGACACAACGCCATGCAGATTCCCACATCGCATAGCCATATGCAAACCCACCAGATGGGCGTTAATGCGACAGGATACGATCCCAGGTTCTCTATGCAGAACTACCCTGTCGATCCCATGATGTACAAGCAATAGAATTTGGACTTCAAGAGCCAGAGCATGAAGTTCATTTGCAGATATTTTCCTAGTTGGAGGCCACAGGCCCATGTATATTTGGTAGTAGGGTATAGTTTTTCGCCCATTCAATTTTGTGTGTTCAGCTTTTTCTCGCACGGATATCATCACCCCAGAATCTTTCGAGTGACCAAGGCTTTACCACGAGCGCACGTGGAATCTGGACAACGTTCAAGAAAGAGCTACCAAAAACTGCATCTCCAACGAGGGACCCTCGATGCGAATCCCACGACTCATGGCCCTCATCCTCCCAGGCCAGCGAACGACAATCTCCCGGTAGTTCTTCCGATGGAAAGGATGAGACGGTGTAATCGCACGTGCGCTGTGTGAGCCTGTTCAAGGCGCTGAGGATGCGCCTGGCAGGTTGAGGCGAACCTCCCCCCCCCCATGCAGCACCTGGGAAGATGGGCGTGTGGGGCATGCCTCTTTGAAGATGGCGCAGGCATGGCAGTGTACTGGGGGGGAAAGAGTACCACGCCCATGGCACCCTTCTCGAACTCGAAGATGACAAAAGGCCATGGGCTGGTTGGAGTGCTTGGGGTGCTTGGAAGTCTTTGGGGGGGGGTGCCAACATGGTTCATGGGGTGGGAGCAGGACGGTTGAGCTGTACCATCCTGGTTTGACACTGCATGGCTGTAATTCAGTGCGGCAGTGTCGCTTCCGCGCTCTCCGCAAAAAAGCGTGGTCACGGCGATCCCAGTACAGCGCTATTGCGAGTACGAGGTATGAGGGTCGGAGGTTGCCGAAGTAGAGGCAAATAATGACAAAAGTAGGAAACCCGACAGATTGGGTTCGATGTATGAGAAGATTGTCCTAGCATACCTAGTAAATGTACACGCGTTCCCAATGTTTTCAAAATTCATCACATGTGCATGACTATTATGAATTGGCGAGACATGACGGGCATAGTGCAACAACCATGTCAGGCATGCTAACGCGCAAGCTAACGCCTAACCCGCCTACGATGCCACGAAACACGTTGTGATGGCGTATGCCACGCGACTTTTCCAACTTGCAACAGGTCCCTGACTCATGCCCATTGGGCTTCAACAGGCCTGTCACTGCCCCCTTCTCTGCAGCAGCAGCCATCCAGCCATCCATCCATCCAGCCAGCCAGCCAGCCCGCCCCCCTCCCCTTTGGATCCAATTGCACGGTTCACGTAGGAAAGTGTCTCAAGCTTTATCTCTGGGGTCGGCCCGTCTAACGTCGGAGCGTTTTTTTTTTTCCAATTTTTTTTAGCAAGATTCGCAAAAGCTTCCTCCGAAAGCACACTGACAGGCGGAGGCTAGAGAGAGAGGGGGGTTGGAGGGGGGACCTTGTCCACGTTTCCGCGCTTTGCAGACATAGCGGAACCCTGACTATCACGGATGGGTCAGCCTCATCGAAGGTACTTGGGTATTCTAGATGCGATCGATTGGGTCAGCACTGTAGTCGCAATGTCAGAGGCATTAGAGGAGGGAGATTGGTGCGCGATCTCGGAATCCTTGGCGCTGCTAGGCTACGCCCGGGAAGCAGGGCAACAGTGGTCCTCTCGCCCTAGGTGTAGGAACAGGACGCGTAAACTACAAAGAGCATTAGGTTGGAATATTTTCCGGTGGCAGATTCGACTGTTGGTGGGCAACTGAGCGCATCGTGTCATTTGTCGTACGGTCTCGTTTCGTCGAGTGTTCGAGTAACGAAGGTTAAGGCAGACGGTGTGGTACGCACGCACCTCTCCTGAGACAGCAGCTATGCTGGCCACGCGAGGGCAATAGCATTACTCGGATTAAACCGCTATTCCAGGTGACTTGGCTGGCTGACGGACGGCGGTCTAGCGCTCTCTGTGTGTGGTGTTGGTGTGGGTGTGTGTGTGTCTCCTCGCCCAGCCCAGCGCTGCTTGGAGGGGGCCTTGTAAAACTCTAAGACGCTTGTTACTATACTGCTGCTATGCTCGCAGGCGGAGTAGAGTGGCGACTATACTGGTTCATGCTTTCCCAAGGCGCGGTTCCCGTCGAGCTCACCATGCGTCCCTCGTGCGTGCTATCCTCCGGTCTATCGGACCGACTAGGCAAACCGCGCTATGTTTCGTATCCCGTCAGCAGCGCTTGAGCCAGCGCGACCAAAGAGCTCACAAACAGATCGTCGGGTTCCAAGTAGGGCTTCTTTTCGCATGCTGGGCGCGCAGCAAAGATGTCAAAAACACTCGTGGCTCGTGCCCGGCAGCCGACGTCGCTGGTCGTTGGCGGTTGGCCATGGGGCATGTCGAGCCAGCGCGCGCCGCTAGGCCGCAAGCGGCATGGCCTGCAGATGACTAACGCCTTCACGTAATTCCATGGCGACGGTTGGGACGGCGACAGGCTCGTGTTCGCTTTCCACGCCCAATCTGATGCTTATGCACCTGGACGCTCGCCTGCACAACTGCGTCGCCGGAATCTCCTATTGGCAAGCTGCTGCGTCGTTACAGTACTTGGTTTTTTTCACGACACCATCACGCGCCCACCCGACTGCGCTAACATGGAGCACATCCTCAGCACCGCTGCCGGCGAGTCGGGGCATCCTTTCACTCTTCAACCACCGGAACGCCTTTGTTTCCGTTCCGGGCCTGTTTCCTCGTCGCTCCCTCTCCATGCCTTCCCTCGCGGTACGGCGTCCGTGTTCACCACGATTGCGAGCAACAAAGTCGTCGTGTCGACTCAGTGTTGGCGTGTCATCTCAACCAAGCACCTGGCCGGGAGGCCCAGTTACCGAGAACTTTATCCCTCTCTTTTCCTTTTCCTTTTCCTTTTCCACCCCTCCACCCCGTCCCCTGGGCCCCATGCACACCACCCATAATAACTATTACACCAGGTCCGCTTACTTTGTCGCCCTCCTGTCGTCACCCCCGGCACCCTCGTCGCTGAACGTGCTTGCGTGCCGCATACAGTACATTATCCCGCTCACACGCTCTCACACACACATACACGCTTGACTTATGAACATGCCTAACTTTGCAAGGCTGTGTGCTTGGCGAACCATCTGGTGTTGCAGTTCAACATGTCGTCGTGCCGCACCTTGAGAGGACTGTGACAACGGTTGTATGGTTGCCCTCCCGCCTCAGAACCCAGCCATGCCGAACCATGGAAACATCGACCCATCTGTTTCAATCCAGTGCGCCAGGTGGCCCGTATGGCAATCCTTTTTTCCATTGGCAATAGGAACCGCGTCGCCTTCTGCGACTGCCGTAATTACCAAAGGCCTTCAGGACTACCACGTGTGGCACACGCCTGGTCGACTTCGCGTAGGGTGTATACGAATACACCTCCAATGACGACGCATACAAGCAGCCATGGAACTTTGGCCAGTGGTACCAACGTTCGCTTGTCTCTGCGCCACCATGCTTGCCATGCTCTAGACCATGGATCTACACGCGTCGTGCGACACCCTGTGGTTTTGCTTCCCGTAAAACAGGTGCCTCTAGTGTCGGGTACGTGGGCTGCCTTGACCCAACACCCCCCTCCCCATACAGCCTTCTACTATGTGGTGGGTAAAATGGGTTCGTGTTCCACATGTCCCGTCGACTCCTACGTACGTTTGTGCCAGCTGCCATCTAAGCGATGAAAGGATTCCCGAGTGTATTAAAGTTATGCCGATCCGTATGCAGCGTTACCGTCTGAGGATATGCCGTGTCTTGTTCCCTTTTGAGTCATGGGCGATGCAGGCGTGATGGGTATTCTGTCATGCAAGCCGCACTGGTGATAAGACTTGTGGTGATCGCGGGCTGACTGGCTGTGGCTGGCGGGCTTCGCTTACCACAATGTAGATCTTACTCGGGACATGTCAGTGCGGAAGTAGAGAGACGAAAGCTCGAGTTTGGTGGGTTGCTTTTTGCGGACGTCGATCTCCGCAACCAATAACCAGGTCCAAGTTACATTCTTTGCCCTCCTAGTTAGCTCATTAGCTGATTCAAGTGAAAGCATGGCGCACTTGGTCTTCTCGTTTCTGCAATAGCCTGAGGCAGAATATTTATCACATGTACGTTACGTATGGAGTAGGTACATGCACTTCTGCTAGACGTGCCTAAAACGGCAAACAAGGCGGCAACGTCATGCATGTATGTATGTACGCTGCCGCAAGAGAAATATCCCATCACAATTTATATATTATATATATATTTTTTTCTCTCTCACCGTCCGTATGCACTTGCAAGCAAAAGGCTGATTGACGCCAGCCCTCCATCCAATCAGTTGCTCGCGCCTACAGTGGCTGCCAGCACGAAAAAAAAAATCACCCCATATCGTCAGTGTGGGACATTTTAGCTAACAGCAACGTACACGGTTGACTCGCGCGGCTTTGTCCCAATCAATCACGGAACAGAGTCGTGGGTCAAGGGCCTGCTGTGTCCTATGTACCAACCTACTCGCGTTGCCCTCCAACCGACACGGCTCACCGGAAATCAACGGGCGCTTAACCCCAGACGGGGCGATATACCTAGCTCCATTATGTTAGGCACATGCCATGATGCCCCTAGCCGCCCGGCAGACGCAAAAGGCGACGGGCGCTCCGCCGCTGCCCCCCAGTCGATCAGCCAAAAAAGCCTGTTACGTATGTATGTGCTATGTATGTGAACGAGTTAGGGGAGGGGTGCGGGTGAAGGGTGGTGGGGGTCTGCGCGTATGTGTGTGTGTGTGTGTGTGTGTGAGTATGTGGGCTTCCCGGGCCCCAAGTCAGTCCCATGCATGCATTCGTTGCCGCTTCCACAGCCGTGGTGTGGTGTGGTACTTGCTTACGTCGACGGGACACTCTAGCTACCAACTATGTATATGTATCTAAGACTAGGGCCAGGGTGTTTGGTGTATATTAAGCCTGTAACAATGTATAAATGATGTTTTTTTAGCGACCTGACTCGCCCGTGCGTATTATGAGACAGTGAATACATTATTATGTCTGCATAGCCTAGGGTCTCCTGGGCTGCCAGGCCCTGCCTGGCAACGATGGCATCACGGGTGACATGACGTGCTTGATATGAGTCGTATGTCTGTGCAAAGGTACGTACGTACTATGTGCTACATACATACATATGTACATGGGGACTTGTGCAACATGCTTGTCCAGATCTGATTATTGATATTCGGAGATCTGGATGCCCTTGGATGTTTGTAGTTGTTTTTTTAAACCCGGACTTGTATTCCGTTAGTAAGTATACTATCATTTTTTTTATATCCGCTGCCTCACAGCACGGTGAATTTTTTCAGCGTTGACTTCAGGTGACAAATTTTATTTTTTTTCGTTTTGCGTTTTGCATTTTTGCGTTTAATGCCGTGAATAAAGTGCATTAAGCGGTTTTTGAAACACCACACATAAGCACACAGAAATAGACTTTTGCACCGTCTTCACATGCCCTTGCTGGGAGACATGCAAAGTCAGCTTACTGTGCAGCTGTCTCGGAAGAATCATCCTTACCCTTGGATACTCTGGAGATGGGCCCTTCCAGTTTCTTAATAAAGACACCATGCGTACCAGGATCTGCCATATCACACAGTATGCTAGGTAAACGGACGCAGGCCTGAGGACAAATTGTATTTTTTATTTTTTTCGTTTAATGAGTTGCAGTGTGTGACTAGCTATCCTAAGTCAGCCCAGGTAAGGGTCATGACCTAAAATACAAACTTTGTACAGCCAATTACTTGTGCAGGTAATCCTACATATATCATGCATCTTAGAAGTCTGTACTAAATTGAATAGTGGACACTAGATAGAGTGAAAGATGATAACGCGGGATATTATATTATATTAAGATCTACACCCTCACGTGTTTGCTGATAGTATTCCCTTCAATCAGCTCAGAGTCTGACTGGTTTTTACTTTGACTACTTGACTTGTTTCTCCACTGTATCCCTTATTCATGAACACCCCGCTCTCTCCACACTGATTAAAAGCACTGTGATATACGTAGTTTATACTAAATTAGTTAGTACTAGTGTATCATACGATAGGCATGTGAACGGCTACGCAAGAACCCAGAAGTGGGTTAGAGTACCTCGGTCTTCGTAGAAAGTAGGGCGAAAGCCGTTAATTCTAGGGAAACTTTATTCCTACATAAACTCTCTCCTTCCCAGGATCTCTGCGATCTCTTCTCAAAGTTTGACATGCACTTGTCTATTTGCTAGCCTGCACGTAATACTTTACTTAGATTAGAATATGATAGACGTATTCAAAAGGAAATGAACCCGAAAGATAATAAGAAGCTGCTAGAAGTACACTCGGCTGGGTTTGAGACTAACCAAGTCCTGTGGTTCTCCTTCATGTATCGTGTCAAACTATCTCACAGGTTGTTCGAATTGGTACTTCGTATCGTGATTTCACACTCCACATCTCATACCGGAACAACGTAATACTAGAGTACAACTTACCCTGTAGGAGAAGTAGAAGTCACAGCAAGTTTGCAGTGATTTAGAATATCTGGATTCTGTGTAGACCAAGACAGATTTTGCAAAGATGTAAAGCAGTGATTACCAGTTTCGACAAAGGTGTAGTCTCCCCTCTCTGCCTGGGTCTGTACTTAATGTGCAGTGGGAGGTAGTTTGAATTGTGCCCTTTCAATTGTAGCTATGCAATGCTACTCACCATGAAGCTTTTTTTATTCACTCCTATAGAGCCATCTACCTAGTTCGTTGCTATGCGTGATCTGAGCGTACTAATACATCAACATTCATTTGTTTTACGAGCGATTTTAATGTACCAATACAGCGACTTTCAGAACACAATAGGGTATACGATAGATGACAGCATAGAGAATATCTAATTTGTTTATTTTTCAAGTATTATTCCGACCTGATAGCATAAAACAATTGAAACCGCGACACAGCATTTGATTCAAGCAGTGACTTCACGATGTTAACATAGCGATTTTATGCCATAGAAGTGGATGTAACTATCTACAATATCAAGAACTAGGATTGCTATCCCGTTGGTATCTCTAAGATAACCGTCCTTTACAGAGAAGGAGAAGGAGAAGGAGCAGGAGAAAGCTCCTACTCTGCGAGTCTTAGTGTATAGCATTAAATAACAGCACAGAGCCAACACCAAAAACAAAGTGGATATCCGAAGCGACCAAGAAACAACCTGGTGACATTAGAAGAGTACAGAATCAATCTTCCCAAGCAAACAACGGACAGAGAAAATTGCATGAATGTTCCCAGACCTTATCTAGGAATACCACAATGCTACTACATATACGTTGCTGAATCTACCAAAAACTACATAGCCATTTAAGGGTTTCTTGTTCAATGGAGCAATACTCAAGTATCAGCAGATTCAAATTAGGATCTAGGTGCAGGTAAACTTGGACTAGATAGCGACAATCAAACAAACTTGTCACAAATCCACATTCTCATCTTGACTCAACTGTACGGAATTTGCATAGTACAGGGCTGAAAAATACTCTGATGCCCCGTTCTTCGGCATAGACTATTGTGAGCGCGGACAATGCGGTAAGACTGAATTGGACATGCAGACAAGCCAAAGAATATTGCAAATATTTCCCTCTCCAATAATATGGAATATTGCATTCCACACGGTAGAACATGCAATGACGAACATTTACTACGAATGTATTCAGGCAACAGTCACGAACAAACATGGTTCACAGATGCAGATCGGTCATGATGGTGGAACCGGGTTAACCCTGCTAAGGCTTATTCAAAGCAGGACCGAAAAAATTTCGTGCATTGAATGTCTAGACGTCGGCGGTATTAAGAGTCTCACAGAGTAAGAATGTTACACCGTTCGATACCAAGAGGATGTTGTGGTACACAAAAGGGCGTAGTGGTGCTTGGCAGGGTGTCTTGACGAAGTCGCTACCTTTCCACCCATAGCGCACGCCGTCTTCCTAAAAGGAGGCTTGCCAGGAGAGCCCACAATGGCAGAATGTACTTGGAACTGTCCCAGTTATAAAATCTGCCGTTATAGCGAAAAGCGTCGCGTGAGGTTTGGTAGTGAGTGATGTGCTTGTGGCATGCAAATTGCGTCGTTTTACAGCCTCACGTCTCAACTTGTTGTGGGCCAGTACGTAGAGATGTGTGTGAATATGAATGCGAATCTTCACCCTGCTCATCTTCGCCCTCGTCGTCTTGATCATGCTCATCATCGGCTTCATGTTCGTTTTCATATTCGTCCTCGTCTTGGTCCTCATGTTCGTCATCCTCGACCTACTGCTAATAGGCATTCTGAGGCACTTGGTAGCCTCCACCCATTTGAGCCTGCTGAGCCTGAGCGTGGGCCTGAGCCTGCATTTGGGCGACTTCTTGTTGCCTTTGTGGCAGGTCATTGAACCAGGGGTGCTGAAGAGCATTGGCGGCCGATATGCGCATCTCCGGGCGGAGCTGGAGCATGCTGTTGAGCAGATTCAGGCCAACCTGGTCGACCTGGGGTAAAATTAGGCGCAGGTCTTGGGTGTGGTAGACAGGGAAGTTGTTCTTGTATTCGGGTAATTGCGAAATGCCCGGCCATGATCGCTCCGAGGGTGTGCCCATTAGCCTGAAGATCTTCTGCACTTGATCTTCGTTAGTGGTTCCAGGGAAGAGGGGCCGGCCCGTATACATCTCAGCCATGATGCAGCCTGCCGACCAGATGTCGATGCTCGTGTTGTAGGTACGGCTGCCAAGCAGCACGTCGGGCGCACGGTACCACAGGGTGACGACCTCGTTGGAGAAGGTATTAACTGGGATGCCAAAAGCACGGGCAAGGCCAAAGTCGGCTAGCTTCAGCTGTCCGCGGTTGTTGATGAGCAGGTTCTGGGGCTTCAGGTCGCGGTGCAGGACGCGGGCCTCGTGGCAAAAGGCAATGCCCTTGAGCAGCTGGTACATGAAGGACTTGATGGTGGCGGGGTCGAGGGCGCCGCGGTCGCCGCGCGAGTCCATGTAGCGCTTCAGGTCCTTATCCATGAACTCAAAGACGAGCATGAGCTTGTTCTCCGTGTGGATGACATCGTGCAGCAGGACAATGTTCTCATGGCGCAGCTCCTTCATAAGGGAGATCTCGCGGATGGCCGTCGAGGGGGTGCCCTCTTCCGAGTCGAGGTGGATCTCCTTGAGGGCCACGAGCTCGCCCGTCTGGCGGTTGCGGCCCTTGAACACCTGGGCGGGTCAGCAGGGGCGCGCAGGCAGCGGTGGGCGGCATTACCGTGGCATAGGTGCCCTCGCCGAGCTTCTCGAGCTGCTGGAAGGAGCTGGGGTGGCGTCGGTTGTCCATGGTGGGCACCAGAGGCACGCCGTCGCCGTCGCCGAGGCTGCGGACGCTGATGGACGAGTCGGTGCGCTGGGGGGCCACGAGGGTGCCGGCGTGGACGGGCTTGAGGCTGGCGGGCGGCGGTCGCGATGTAAACTTGGGGTCCCAGAGGATGGCCGAGGCCGTGGTCAGCTGCCGGGCGATGCGCAGAGGAGACGACGAGCGCGGGGCGTCGTCGGCGGGGGCTGGGGCTGGGGGCGCCGTTTTGACGATATGCGAGGTGGTGATGCAGCGTGGACGACGACGAGGGCCGGCGATTAAATATGGGCCGGTCGAGCTGTACACTGAGTGGGTGGGTGGACAGGCGTGAGTGGGCGGAGGGCGGCGCGATGGTGGGCTGGTGGGGGCGGCGCTGAGAAGGCACGAATGCGAACACGTACTTGGCATTAGCGCTGCAGAGGGCGCTTCCTCGCCGCCCACAAGCCCAATCACCACCACCGCCGCCATCAACACCACAGCAGTGCCCAGTCAAGTCATCCAATGCCACGGCTACACTCACACTGCCATTCGTCTGATACATGCTACTTCTTTTTTTTTACTCGCCCGCAATCTTGCTCTTCACCCATCCAGGCACGCTGGGCCGCTTCTCCCACCCCGTCTTCCAGCTGTCCCGCCACCCCTCCTTGCTCGCGGGCATCGCAAACACGCACGTGACAAGCCACACCGTCTCGCCCTTTTTAATGTCCTTCTGCACCACCGGCAGCACCGTCCGGCTCTCGACCAGGTTCGAGTTGGCGTCTGCCAGAATGACACTGCCCGGCCGCTCGTTCTGGTACACGTCCACTATGCCCACGGCGCCCGTGCGAGGAGAGGCTGCGAATGCACCAGTCATGTCGGAAGCACCCCCTTCTGGTATCGAAGCATCCAGTGTGCGAAGCGTGCCGTTCCACTCGGTCAAGAGGCGCCCGTCAGACCCTCGCGCACCATAGACGGCCCATGCACCCTCTGCGCTCTTGATATCCCGCCCTGAGGTCACACGGTGCACCCTCAAGTGCCAGTTTGGCGTCTCCTCTGCCGGCGGGATCAAGTACGTCAAGACTTCGACATCGCTCCAAGGCTTCATGCTGCTGACCAGCACTGGCACCCCATCAATATTCTCAATCTGTGAGTCACCATTCAGTGCCCTCCTCATCTTCCACAGCTCGCCCCCATCGTCGGAAAAGGCAATTTGTGACTCGGGCACAAACTGCTCCAGTTCCTGGTACCCCGTCGACACAGAGTATGCAAATGCAGCACTATACGCAAACTTGCCGTACTTGGCGTTGCTGTTTTTGATGGCGTAGTGGCACGACTGTCCGCTCGAGAGCAGGAAGCTGTGGCCTCCAGAGCGGCACACAATCTGACGCGGATGTGGCAACGGACGCACAACGCGTGTGTTGGCAAACGGGTGCGGCTCTTCCTTTGCACTCCAAAACGGATGTGATTCCGGCATGGCGAGACAGGCAAAGGCAAGCATGCACCAGTAGGGCGACTGAGGTGAGTTGTAGTTCTCGGCGAGATAGTAGTTGGGGTATGAGTAGCCCACTGTGAGCATGCCGTTGGACTGGAAGATGTCGTGCTGGCTTGTCCACCAGCGCAGATTCCGCAACCATATTCCCTTGACGACTCCCCAGGTCAGGGGATCGGGCAGTTCGAGATCGGCATACGCAATGGCGCCCCAGAAGGCAACCATGGCCCACCGGTAAGTCAGTGAGCGACCAAAGGTGATGGCGCGGCCTTCAGGGTCGAAAAAGTGAACAAAGTCGAGAGCAAACATGCGTGCGCGCTTCTTGTACTCTTCAGCCTGCTCGGGGTCGATGTCTGCAGCCAGCTTGGAATACAGAAGCTGGAGATACTGGATGGCAAAGGAGCTAGAGTAGTAATCCATCTGACGATACGTATCGGGGCCATCGTTTGACCAACCATCGCCGCGGTAGTACGTGTTCAGCTGCTTGATGTCCTTTTCCAGCTGTGTCTTTGACCACTGAGCGCCATTCCTCTCAAGTCCCAGGTTGGCAAAGACGCGGAACCAAAGCCTGCCACACATTTCAATACCCATGCAACATCACAAAGCGTCACCAGACACAAGATGAGAAAAAGGGCAACGGGTCAGCATACCAGTTTGTATCCGGCATCTTCTTATCATTCATGCTTCCCAGCCACGTCTCGACATTCTTCTTCTGCCTCTCGGTCAAGGGCTCCCAGAAGTCTTTATTTGCAACCGCCAGCGTAAAGCCAATGGGACACGCCTCGACCATGCGCTGATCCGTATCCTCCATGTAACCCCAAAACTCCGGGTTCCCCGGATCTGTGCCGGAAATCAGGCCTTGGACAAACTTGTCCGTGGCTGCGTAGGTGCTGCCTCCAGCCAGCAGCGGTGCAAGACCCCATAGCGGGCGGGCAAAGCCTTCGACTTGGGCGCCCGTCTCGTCAAATCGAGTGCCTGTGCTGCCGACCTTGATCAAAGCGCTTTGCGCCGAGAAGCCGGGCAGCAGCGGGTCGAGTAGAGACGTGACGGCGTCGACGACATCAGCGCGCGTCTTGAAGGGGTTCGTAGAGAAGGGATGGAGGGGAAATGCGCGATTGTTATTTGCCGTTGTGGCAGTCATGGCGTATTTCCTTTTCTGTTTTTTTTTTCCTTTTCTTCCGAGACTCGCCCAAGCTACTAGAATTGATTTGCTAGTTTGATGCTGCAGCAAGTACTCAGTTCGTCTGTCTGTGTACGATGTGCGTGGCGTATGTGTGTGTGTGTATCTGTGGTAAGTAAGCCTCAGCCGCACACGCAAAAAATGCCCAGCAAAGCCCAGAACACCCAAGACGGTAGAAGATGAACGAGCCGCGAATCAGCTGTAACACGACGGGAAAAAGCTTATTTCTCGTCGTATCGAATACAACCGACGGACGGCGGAAATGATATATGCGTATGCTCAGAAGGCTGCAGTCGTTGAATTTCGTGGCGTATGTTGCTCGTGGGGGTTCGGGAGCTTTAAGAGCAGCAGCAGCAGCAGAAGTACTACTGAGCAGTAAAGTAAGCAAGCGATGGATGAGTTAGCCAGTTAAGCTGCACTGGGGTGTCCCAGAATAAGCCTCGGGAAACATTACCACGAGAAAAAGGCCAACGGAGAGCAGACTCTGCCCCTCCTCCACGCCGCACTTTTGCCTGATCAGCCTGAACAGCTTACTACCCAAAAGAGCCCACGCCAGAACAACAGGGTGGGCCCTCCCCCATGACACCAACCACCAGATTTGGGTTCCCAACGACCACCACCATTTTCGTTTAGGCGTATTACTTTACTTGCAAGACCAAGGCCTTTGCTTCCTCCACACGGAACCCACAATTTTGCTCCCCCATCATGCGTCGGCATGACCGTGGGGCTCCCTTGCAGCCTCGACCTCGACCTACCCCCCCTCCCCAGAGCTTTCTCATACGCGGATAAATACCTCTCTCTATAACCGTAGCGTGCTTTTGATAGGGCGGCGTGAAGTTCCACAGCACACACACACACACACACATACATTCTCTATCTGCACACATGCACATACACGCTGTTAGTTTCCGAAATCCTAACGTGGCGAATGGGGAGGGGGTGGGGGTTCTTGTGACCATGACTACGCCATGCTGGTTTTCACATTCCCAGTGATGACATAGCCGTGATGGAGAGTTGCAAAATGGCTACTTAGTCTTTTCTGACTAAGTATTTTATTTTTCTTCCGCCCATGGGGGACCGCTGTCGTCGTTGATCAAACGCCAAGACGGGCGGCTTGGCGGGGCGGGAAACCCCCTCATCTCCTTTTCTTTCTCTCCATGCCATCCTTGTCCCCCGCTTAGATGAACCATCAAAGCTCTCTGTGAACATATACTCACAGAGAAGTGGACATGTAGAGATGTGGTCGTGTAGACAGACATGTACAGTACAGAGAAATGCCAATACCAACGCCAATGCCACAGCCTGTCTCTACTGGACGGAAGAAGGGCTCCTCTTGGCGATTCCAAGACGGACATTCACATGCTCCACTAATCCCACTGCTTGCTTTCCGCCGAGCCAAGACCATATCCTCGCCACGGCTCAGCCTGAGGATCCAGCGGCGCGCCCGTCAGCCCACGCTCATTCGCCGGGGGGGAGGGGGACGCCTGCCACGCCTCCCCGACACTGGCTGCTCGTTCCAGTTCCTCGAGTGTCTGGGGTAAATTCCGGATGGGCGGAGAACACAAATGCATAGAAGCTTGGGGTTGTGGACCCACATTGGCTTGGAAGAGAGAGAGAGAGAGAGAAAAGTCTGGGGTTTGCGTCGAGCCTGGGGCCGCCGTTTGTGCCGTGTGTGCCTTGGATGCTGGGGAACATGGGAGCCGTCAAGGAATATGCAAAGTCCGCGGCCATTGGATCGCCCATGGAGGGGAGGGAGCGGGGGGACAGACAAGATAGCTAGCGGTTTCCCCGTCTTGAGCACCGTCGAGCTAGTCAAGTGCCACGACGGCGCATGGACCGTAGAGTCCTTGAGTGTGTTTATATAGAGGGGCGCCATGCACGCATATCTCAATCTCACTGGGGTTTCTTATCTGGATCCTTTCCACCCGTTCAGACGTCGTTTGTCTGCACCTTATCCAGCTCCACTTGGACTCGTGGTGTTGTTTGTCCCGTTGTCTGTCTGGCCTAGGGTCTCTTGAGCTTGGTCGTTGTATCAGGTCTCTTTTTCCCCTGGCTGTTAGTTAGTGTGTTGCCTTTATACTGCCAAGGTATGTATGGCTACCAGGCCTCTTTTGCATAGCAGCCATCCACATGTTTCGAGTGCTGACAGTGCCATGGAAAGGCATAATATATCACCATCTGAACCGACCAAACACTAGACACATCCACCCATCATGGCCTCCTCAAATCCATCAATGGGCGCCAAGTTCGTCCGCATGGTCGTCAAGAACGACTCCATCAAATCCGATCCCCACGAGATCTACGGATGGCGTGCCTTTGCCATGGCCGGCTCCGCCTGCTTCGGTGGCATGTTGTTTGGCTTTGATATCGGCACCATTGGAGGTGTACTTGAACTCCCAGAGTTCCAGCAGTATGTTGTCTTCCGGGTCAATTTACTGAGGTCATGATGAAGCAGAGGGCTAATGGTGTGGCAAAAACAGCAAGTACAACATTGATACCCTCGACAAAGTCGGCAAGGCCAACTTGAGCGCAAACATTGCTTCGACCCTCCAGGCTGGCTGCTTCATCGGTTGCTTCCTGGCATCGTGGGCTTCGGACCGCTGGGGCCGCAAAATTGCCCTGCAAGCAGCTGGTCTCATTACAATCGTTGGTTGCGTTATTCAAGCCGTTGCCATGGGCTCTCTCGCAGCCATGTACGTCGGTCGTTTCGTCGCTGGTGTGGGTGTTGGCGGTGCCTCCATGGTCGTCCCTTTGTACATTTCGGAAAACGCTCCTCGTGGTATTCGTGGCGGTCTCACCGGTCTCTACCAGCTCTTCATCGCCACTGGAATCTCGCTCGCTTTCTGGGTCAACTACGGCTCGCTTTTGCATCTCTCAGGCGGCGCCCAAGTCTATATTGTGCCGCTCGCCATGCAAGCGCTTCCCGCCGTCCTTCTCGTCGTCTGCATGGCTCTGAACAAGGAATCGCCGCGTTTCCTCGCAAAGCAGGATAAATGGGAACAAGCCACCAATGTCCTGGCCCGAATCCGGAACCTGCCCCAGTCGCACCCCTACGTTCAGGACGAGATCAAGGATATTGCCGACCAGCTCGAGCACGAACGCATGCTGATCGCTGGTGCTGGAGTCAAGGATCTCCTCAAGGAAATGTTTACTGTCCCCGGTAACCGCAAGCGTGCGCTGATTTCCATTGGGCTCATGGTCTGCCAACAGATGACTGGAACTAATGCAATTAACTACTACGCCCCGCAAATCTTCAAGGCTCTTGGTCTCGAGGGCAACGAGAACAAGTTGTTTGCCACAGGAATCTACGGCATCGTGAAGATGGTCGGATGTCTAGCATTCCTCATTTTCGCTGCCGACTCGCTCGGACGACGACGCTCGCTCCTCTGGACATCGATTGCGCAGGGACTGGCCATGTTCTACATTGGTCTGTACATGCGCATCGACCCGCCTGTTGCCGGCCAGTCTGTACCGGGAGCGGGATACTTTGCGCTGGTCTGTGTTTTCCTGTACGCATGCTTCTTCCAGTTTGGATGGGGTCCTGTGTGCTGGATCTACGTATCCGAGATTCCAGCGGCTCGTCTTCGATCGCTCAACGTGGCTATTGCGGCGGCGGTGCAGTGGCTCTTCAACTTTGTCGTGGCTCGCGCTACGCCCAACATGATTGCTACCATGGGCAAGGGAGGCTATGGGTATGTCTTCTCCCTTGGATACCAGCAGATGGTCCGTGTGCTAACAAAGTCATAGTTGCTTCCTTTTGTACGGATCCTTCTGCTTCACCATGTTCATCTTTGTGTGGTTCTTCATCCCAGAAACAAAGGGTCTCTCACTCGAAAAGATGGACGACCTCTTTGGCGTTACGGAGCTCGTTAAGAACATGGAAGCGGATGGTGAGCGCAACGTCCACGGTTCCATGGACAAGGGTACTAGCGTTATTCACGAAGAGAAGGTCAGCCGTTAAGCGGGTATACGCGACTAATCTTGTGTTGAATGTTTGTCGTTTGCAGTATTTCAGCTTGGTTGTCGCGGGTTAGCAATAGCATAATGTGACAATGAAGTTATGAGCTTCATGGCGCTCTTTCCCCACCGCTGTATGGTTGCATTGGGTGACTTTGTTGTTGTCTACTATTTCTAGACTAGATGCACATGTAGAGACTAGCGAGTGCATGTGCAGATAGTCATGTGATGCAAGTCTAGACCCAACCATGTATCGCACGCGCGCAACGCCTGTGTCATGACGTGACTAGAAGACTCAGGTCAGACCACCGCAGCAGAACTTCAGCTTGGAGAAACAATGTCTTGTAATGTAGTCATATTCACGTTACTCTTACAATCTGGGTGATGGAAATCAACACCATCGTAGAAACGTGACCGAACCAATCAACGCCTGATACATGATCGTAGAGCTATCAAAGGAGATTTCTGCGCCGCGCGGCTGTTGTTGAACAAGCGGCGATCAGATGTCCTTTATAAGGTTCTCGTCCTCGTCGAGGATACCCTTCTTGACCAGCTCTTCTGGACTTGGCCTGTTCTGCAGTCCCTTTTCCAGGCTGTCGGCCCTCATGTGCAGGTCGAGTTCCTTCTGGTGTCCTTGTAGGGCGGGCGCTGCTGTCGAGTTGGGAAGGATGTTTCGGTCCACCAGCTCGGCACGTTCGGGACGGGCGTTGAGGCCCCTCTTGAGATTGTCGGTGGCGCGCTGGCGCTCAAGCTCGAGAGCCTTTGCTTGGAGGGCGCTGTAGCATGTTGGTGTTAGCATGTGGAAGCTCCATGTAGCTTCGCGCGACCGGGAGCTATGACGGAGGCATAAGCAAATGTGGGAAGGCATACGGAGCTGTGGTGGTGTCGAGCAAGATGTGCCTGTTCTTCAGATCCTGCGGCTCTGGACGGTGCTGCAGGTGCTTCTCCAGACTGTTGCGCCTTTCCGAGGAGCGAACAGGAGCAATGGGCGTCTCGTCGATAAAGTCAGCGTGCTCGGATGCCATGATGAAAGAAGTGGTTAGTGATTTCAGATGATTGGGGGATGCAGCTCGTGTTGTAGAGGTAACCAGCAGAAGCGACAATGGGGGGTTGCAGATGCAGGCGATCCAAAGTGCGCAGCTGTTGGGGGTACTTAAAGGAGAGCTCTCAAGGTGAGACGAAGAAGAGGAGGGGAGAGGTTGCTTGGTGCCCACAGCCTTGGTTGCGGGGCAGCCGCCTGCTTGATCCCTGCATCCCACGGCCCCCAGGGTCAGGCGCCTACCGTCATCTTGCGTCGGATCAGCCATGTTGATGCAGTTTCACCTCGGACGTGATGCTCGTGCTCGCTGCGGCTTTACTCTTGTCATGCTGCCTCATTTGGGAGCACGCGAGACGGAGCGCAAAGCGGTGCCTGACCATGATTGTGGCCGTACGCCGAACAATGACGTTGGCATGCGGCCTGCCAGGCCATCCGCAGAGTATCAGACGTTGCACATGTAACAGGCTAGGCTGCGCCTCAAATAAGCACCGCGTTTGGATGCTGCATGTTTCTCCCTTTGCAAAACAAACACTTGAACACGCGGTAGTGGTTGGCCACATGAAATTAAAAATAACCCATGGCGTGTTGCAACCACATTTATAGCCAGGAATCATCTCTATTAAAACCACCCATAAAACAAATAACAGGGAATTATCGCGATTGCATTCTCGTCAAATTACTGATAAAACAAATGGCAAGGAAGGATGCGGTAAATATGCTGTGTATAGAACAACGGGTACCTTCTGCACTAGGCTTCGGCACTAGAAACATGGTCGACGCCCAAGCAAAAGGCCGGGTGGAGGCGGGACTGTTGGTCATGGTCTCTGTAACTGCCTCAGCACCCCGCAGTATAGTAAAGTAAAGTTAGCCGTAGAGAGAGAGAGAGAGAGAGAGAGAGAGAGAGAGAGAGAGAGGATTGCATCTGGGCCCAAAAGGGCCGCAGGGAGCAAACTATGTAATATGGAGTCGAGTTGTTACCGAAATACAGGACTTGCTACCTGGGACCATGATTGGTTGAAGATGCGCTTCAAATCTTAAACAAGCCTTTGGCGTATATTGAGGTGCATCCTTACCGCGGCGACGACCATCTCCCTGAGTACACGCCGACAACACCAACCACCCGTACCACAATCATCCTGTAACCACTAGTCAACGCAGCCAAAACACACCCAAACCAATACACCATGAGCAAGAAAACATTGCCAAGTCAAATCATTATTTTCATCAACTACGGACCGACCACGACTACGAACCATCAATGCCATATTATCATAAACCTCCAACTCCAATCATGAACAGCTGAACTACTTGAGATGGGATGCTCTGAATAAGAACACTAAGACGCACATGCACCATGGCATTGCCCCCCTTTTTTTGGTCAATTGACATTGGTTCCGGTCCTCCGAGCACACACTTGTATTCGGGGCGAACCATGCTTGCCACGACAACCTCCGGGAGGTTGTCAGAGTATCGTGCTAGCAGCGTGTGATTTAAGCACCGTCGTCCTCGCCAATGCGGATAGCACCCTCGCGGCTGAGGCCGTTGGCCCAGAAGCCGTTGAGCTCAGCATCGCTCTCACGCATGTTGGCATGGACAATGAGGAGCCAGGCACCAAAGACAGCCTTGGCAAGAACATCAAGGATGGCGTAGGCAATGATCTCAGAGTCGACGCTGACCTTGCGGGCACCATCGGCAATACCCCACACACTGTTGCACGTTAGTCTATGCACCATGCTTCAGCCACCTGGGAGGAACTTACATGGGGTAGGCAGTCCAGAGAATGACAGTGTAGACAGAGATGGAGACGAAGAAGGAGCGGAGCTTCTCGCCCTTGGCCCTGGCGTTGGCACCACCGTTGAGACCAAGGTGCCAGAAGATGAAGAGGAATGAGATGCACGAGATGGTGTACCAGCCCCACTTCTGGGGAGTCTCCTCGGAGCCGAAAGCAGCAAAGAGACCAGTCAGCACCATGATGACATCAGCGGTCACCATCATGAACAAGTGTCCGCCGGCCATGCCAGCAAGGAGACCAAGGTCGAGGAGCAGGAAGGGCGTGGTGACGACCCAGTCAACGTAGCGGGCCCAGTACACCTCACGGTAGACGGTGGTGAAGGTGTCGGGAACATGGTCGTGCTGCTCACGCTCGACAGTCTTCTGCAGGGCAACGCCGTGGCCCGTGGCCATGGAGAAGTACGAGAGAGCGGCCGTCAGGGTGATGATGGTTGTAATGACATGGTAGAGGCGCTTGTTCTGTTGGGCGGGTTAGAGCGGGTCCGAGTGCGTGGGCAGGCAGCAACGTACCAGGGGGACGTTCCACGACATGAGCGTGAAGGCGCCAGAGGCAATCAGCATGATGGCGAAGACGACCCAGAGAACCTTTTGTCCAGCATCGCCGGCCACCTGGTAGATGGGCTCGCTGCCGGGCACCACCGAGGGAATGGGGGCCACGGGGGGCGAGCCGCTGGGGACCTTGCCCAGGACATCCTCGAACTGGTCGACGATCATGGTGATGGCGGAGTGGCTCGACGGAGGGAGCAATGGGGATGGGGGTGGGGGTGTTTTCACAGCAGCAGCCTCTGTGGGATGGGGAGCTGGCGTGCGAGAGAGAGGGAGCTGGTGAGAGGGCGTCAGCAACGCGAGCGGCGGCGTTATAAAGAGGAGCAGCACAGCAGCAGCTATGCGGTCACCTGTTGGAGCTGCGGCAGGAGCTGTCCGGATCGGGAGTCGAGACGTCATAGCCCCTCACGGTGGGGCGCTACGATTGGCTCCCGCCCGGGGCAGGCTAAGCAGCAGGGATGCGCGAACACCAGCCTTGCGCGACTACACAGGCCTTGACCACAGGCAGAGAGGGGTCGAGTGCGTGTACCCGGCCTGCCAGACGACTCGTCCGCCTTGGTGCATCCGAGTCAGGCCTGGACATGCTGCTGCTGCTGCTGCTGCTGCTCCTCCTCCTCCTCCTGCCATTGCCAGCACTGTCGCTGTGCTGTGCTGTGCTGCTACCAATGCAAATGTACATTGGTACGTGTACATCGTCGATCCGCCATACTCGTACCCCACACCGCAGTCTGTGCAGGCCATCGGTTGCCCGGGTGTCAATGCAAATGCCCAGTCAAACCGGTTTCGTGTGCCGCCGATGGGGGATTAACTTTGCGATGAGCCCAGAGCCCGCCCTCTCCGCACTGCCAATCGTCTCGACGCTGGCACGATCGTCTCGACCTATCGTGCGCCTCGCCATCGCCGCCTACATGTGTACCGCGTGCAAGGTCGCACCCGGCCTCGACCTATAACCGCCCCAGCCCCCGCAATGCTCCCCCAGCTCCGCATCCATCTGCTCCTCACGCTGCCTCACAGTGGTGTGATGTGACATGTACATGTGAGCTGCCGAGCTGCCGAGCAAGGCCCGATGTGCATCGATGCTCTGGTACCTACCCTCAAGACCCTCCCTCTCCCATCGCGCGCCTGCCGGCCGCACGCCTGTAGTCACCGGTAGCCACCTGTAGCCACCTGTAGCCACCTGCACCACGCCTTAAGACTGCCTGCACGCCGGGCCCCCAGCCTCCGGTCCTTCCGTCAGCTAAGAGCTCAAACACGGCCACGCAAACCATGAAAAGAGGACCCCGTGTCCACCCGCCTCCTCTTTTCATTTGGCCAGCATGGCGAAGAAAAAAAATAACCAAGAAAGAACACTGACACCAACAAGGCGCTTTGACAGAGGCCGCTGCTGCTGACACATGTACAGTATGAGCCCACACACAACAGCTTCCGCCATGGGGAACCGCTTCGCGACCAGAGCAAGAGTGCGCGCAGCCGCTTTTTCGGAAAACGGGAACCAGAGGGGACGCACGACTCTTAAATAGTCTGGCCACAGTCCTGCCGCCCCATGCTGTCTTGGACCTCGGTGCAAGCCCCGGATATAGTTGCGCCATTTCAGTCGCCAGGTAAGAATGGAAAATGTCGACGGGGAGTGGGCCGGTAGAGTTTCGCCAAGCCTCGCTGCTGACTAACACGGCCTGCTGTGGCTGAGGCTGAGGCTGAGGCTGACCCACCAGCCACCGCCGACTGGTTGGTCAGGGTCCTCGCACCAGGGACCATACGCCTCGTACCAGAACCTCAACACCACGGCCAGCCAAAATATCGGCACTATCTCCGTGTTCTCTAGTCCCCTCCAGACATGATGCCCACGGTGCCGCGTCACCGCCGTAGCTGACGCCACAGATGCGTCTATTCGACGACCGAGTGACATTCTGTCGTTTAGCGCACCATCAAGGTCCTCACGTTTATGTCCTTATGGCAGTTGGTCCGTTTTTCCGTCTCCGTACCGGCCCTCTTCACCTCTCAAGCCTCAACAAGCGCCCTCAAGCATTCTTCGCGTCGCCATCACGGTACTGAGCTGTCCACGTACACTCCATATATAGTGCCGGTCGTAACCCAAGACCGACAAGCTACCACTCGCCGAGCCACTACCAAGCCTTTGTGCATATTCAAGCCCATCAAGGGTTTCCTGACTAGGGGTCCGTCTGCTTCGGTGGTTTGCCCACGACTTCGGCTCATCCGCAACCAAATTTTACCCATCTCGCCGTCGGCCGACTGTATAAAACTTGACCCCATCCACATCTCTTGCCCTATCTCATCTCCACCCAAATTGCCCAGTCGAGAGCTTTCCCCAGTCTCCACTGCCATACCGCCACCATGCCCGAGTGCGCAGCTTCCAACGACTATGACGGGCGCATGGGCACCCGCATATCGTCCATTTTTGTCATCCTCGTGGCATCTACGTTTGGTGCGTACGACGCGGTTACGCGCGACTCCAAGCACTAACGACGCACAGGTGCCATGTTCCCCGTGCTTGCAAGGCGCAGCCGCCACAAGTTTGTGCCTGACTGGGTCTTTTTCGTTGCAAAGTACTTTGGATCCGGTGTCATTATTGCTACGGCATTCATCCATCTCCTTGCGCCAGCAAACGAGGCCTTGACCAACGAGTGCTTGACGGGCGTCATTGCCGCATACCCCTGGCCAGAGGGTATCGCGCTGATGACCATCTTCCTCATGCACTTTCTCGAGCTCATGACTATGCGCTATGCCAACTTTGGCGGCGACCACCAGCACGACGCTAGCCACACGCATGCAGCTATCCCTGCAGCCGCGAGCAACAGCAGCAGCATCGAGGAGACCAAGGGACATGACATTGAAGCCGCCGGCCCTGGAAACCCCAACATCCGCGGTGACGACCACCTTGGCCACCAACGCCAGCACAACGCCGAAGGCGAGTACGGCTCAGAGCTTGAGCCCCGTCACCTCGTGCCTTCCGACTACGCCGCCCAGCTTACTGCCGTCTTCATCCTCGAGTTCGGTGTCATCTTCCACTCCATCTTCATTGGTCTTACCCTCGCCGTGGCCGGAAGCGAGTTCATCACCCTGTACATTGTGCTCGTCTTCCACCAGATGTTCGAGGGTCTCGGTCTGGGTTCGCGACTCGCCGAAGTGCCATGGCCCGCATCCAGGCGCTGGACCCCATACTTCCTTGGCTTGGGATACGGTCTCTCGACACCCATTGCCATTGCCATTGGTCTGGGTGTCCGCCAGTCATTTGCCCCCGAGTCCAAGACGACACTTCTTTCCAACGGCATCTTTGACTCCATCAGCGCTGGTATCCTCATCTACACTGGTCTCGTCGAGCTCATGGCCCACGAGTTCATGTTCAGCCCTTATATGCAGAACGGGCCTGTCAGCCGAACCCTCAAGGCCTACGCGCTCATGACCCTTGGTGCTGGTACGTTGAAGTTCCTCACGTGTAATTATTGCACAAGATTACTAACATGCCTCTAGGTTTGATGGCTCTGCTCGGCTACTGGGCTTAAAATAGCCTCTATCGGCTTTGAGGTCATGAAAAAAAAAAACTTTTCTTTTTCTCAATGGATGGATAATGTCTGTATATATAGATATGCTTTGTGCCGCTTTCTGGCACATGATGACGTGGGAGGCTTCAGTGATCACGTTGGACTCTTTTTTTTTTGTTTTCTTTCACGTGTGCTGCATTCAGGTATACCCCGTAGATTCAGGCCACTCACAGTGGCGCGACGATTCGAGGCGGAACGAGGATAGAGACAGAGACGCATGATGACTAGAAGGGAAGTGAAATTTGAAAGACGGACGTTGTCATCTCACACCCAATCATTGCCCTGCTCGTGCACGTGCCCGCCTTAGCCCCTCTCCATTTCCACGCGCGTGACAACCACCGCATACATAGACATGTAGCAGACCAGTGCCAGCCTGTGTCTGTGCCCCCCCCCCTCCTCTCTCGACATCCCATCCTGGCCCAAACGTAGCCCCTCACTAGCCCTGCCCGCCCACTCCCCCTAGCTATGACATCAAGACTTGCTTTTCTTTTTCTTGCCAAAGAGCGGTCAAACACAAACACGTAACAATCCTACTTCTCCGCATGATGATGATTTGTATTGCCAAACAACATGTATGTAATGTAGCTACGTATAGATGGATGGATGAATGTATATATGTAGTTTATGTAAAAAGAAGAAGAAAAAAACTCCAACAACAACAGCAACAACAACAAACACAAGGTGTGGGGAGGGCTGAGATCAGATGCATGATCATCATCACAAGCAAGGGGAGGGGGTATCATAAAACTGCCAACATACACGTTTCGAGAGACCAGCAAAACGGACGGCTCATTGTTTGTAGTCGTACATAGACAACATGCAATCAACAAGCCCATGTCTCTCACTCTTGCTCTCTCTCTCTCTCTTTTTTTCCTTATTTCTTAGCCATATCTGTGTGTACCAAACATAGCCTCCAAGGCTACCGTTTGATATGTATGTAAGGGGGTGGGGTAAAGCAAAAAAAGAAGAAGAAGAATAATAGACTGTTAGACCAGACATTACGCAAAAAAATCACGCGCATCCGAAAAACGCAGAGAAGTGAAGCGAGAAAATCAAAAAAAGCCAGTGAGCTAAGGATATGTCTCATCCGCCCAGTACCTCGAGCGAGGCGGAGAAGGGAAAATATTTGTGTTTGTGTGTTGCGGCCGTGGATATTCTAGAACAAAGGAAACGGTCGTACGACGTCGAAATCGCATTCGACGTAATGTTCCATTTTGCGCCACGAGGTAATGCAGACCGTTATCCTTCTACGCGAAACGCCAAATTGAATGCAATGAATAGGGTGCGTATGCGTTTTGACGCAGTGAAAAAGAAAGGTTAATGGGTATTGACTCGTGAGTCTGGTTAGGATGCCTCCAAAGCATCAATCGAGGCATGGAGATATCGGATGCGCTCTTCAAAGGGCGAGCCGAGTGGGGTGAGATTCTCGTGGGGCTTCAGGCCTGACTCTCGGTACGATATCCACTGGCCAGGGAGATGTGGGCGAAACTCTTTTCCAGGGCTTGTAGGTTTGCTTTGGTTGTCTACTTTGCCAGACTCGTTGGCTCGCCGGACCTGTTCTGGGCCCTCGAAATGTACTCCGCTGTCGCGGTCAACCATTCGATTGGTTTCCGAGAAGAAGGGCGAGTCTAAAGCGTCAATGGTATGCTGCAGCGGACTCCAGGGACTGAGGAGACCCCTCGATTCATCTGCCGCGGCGACTTCGTTGTCGTCTTCCAAAACGAGTACGCGGCCGCCTAGCTTGACGTCGTTGACATTGACCTTGTACTCGAGTGCCTTCTGACCGTCCTTGATCAGCTGTTCTGTCCATCCCAGACACTTTCTTAGGCTCTGGTTCATCTTCTGGCTGTCGTTTAGCATATCGCGATGCTTGGAGAGATCAAGTTGAAGACGCTTCTCATCCCGCGTGCGATGTGCTTCATCGCGCTTTAGCTGCGCGCTAGGACTCAATGCACTATCGTCAAGTGAAGAATCACTGCTTTCTGGCTCCTCTTCCTCCTGTTCTTCTTCTTCTTCCTCTTCTTCATCGTCTTCTTCATCATGCGTCTCTTCTTCAGACATATCCGAAAGGTCACCCCTACTACTGGCCCCAATGGCTGAGCTGTCGCTGGGGAAGTCAATCGTGGTGGCAGTAAAGTGACCGGCTCGACTCATGCGGCGAAAGCGTCTGATTTCGGCCTTTTGTTTCCGTACCTCCTTTTCTAGAGACCGGTTGATGGCAAGGAGCGATGAGTTGCTGATTTCGAGATCGAGTACTTTTCGTTCGCGTCGTGCGTTTGCTGCAAGCTCGTTCATCATCTCGAGCGCACTCTTGGTGTCGTTGGTTCGTGTGGGGCTTGCCGACTTTGGAGAGTTGAGTGGAGAGAAGGCAGTGTAGCGGGGAGAGGCCGAAGCTGCATGCTCGGGTGAGGGCGTGCTGGCAGCGGCACTCTTCTCAGCATGCAGCGGGCTGGGTGTCATGGCGGGGGGCTCGTTGGCCGAAACCTTCCTCAGGCTGGTCACCGAGTCAATCGACGAAAGACTGGAGCTTTTGGCGTGGCCTCCCCCCCGCTTGATCATGGACGCAGTGCTCGACCTCCGCCTGGTCACGTCGGAGGCGTCCGAGGTGTGAGGGCCGCCGAGAATAGCCATGGGGGAGTTGTTTGCACTTGCCGAGCTTCCTCCTCTGCTCAGAGCCGGTCGAACCTGCGAGGCACCCTTGCGGTATGAGAGGTGTGCCCAGTCCCTGTTGGGCGAGGGCGGGCGCAGCGACGCGCCATGGGCCGTGGCAGGTGGGGGCAGTGGTTCAGGCGAGGTGGGAATGGGCGGCGGGGTAAGGATTGGCGGGCGGTCTCTCGGTTCGGAGAGCGAGTCTGCGTGGAAGAACTTGCTTTCGGAGGGCGCTCTGCCCAGCGAGGACAGGGGCGGGGAGGGCACGCTGTGGCGGGGGCTGTCGTCTTGTCGGCCGTCAGCATAGAAAAAGGTGGGCGTCCTCTTGACGGGGGCGGGTGCGGGGGTGGGCTGTTCGTGCGGGCGGGCGTCGTTGGCATGGAAGAATAGGGGCGATGAGTCTTTCCTGGCGCCCGCGTCGGCGGGCGCGTGATTGTACACGCTGGCCAGCGGGGGCCGCGCAGCTGGCGTGGCATAGCTGCTGGGTCCTGGAGTGCTGCGCGGGCGAGCGGCGGCGGCACTGCTCTTGCCGACGGCGCTGTGGGCGGTGGCGTGGTGCTCGCGGAGGGGGAAGTCTACCGTGGAGCTGGGGCGCGACGGCGTCGAGGCGCTGTCGGGGGCGGCGCGCGACTTCCTCGACGACGACGAGCGGGTCGAGATGTTGGAGCTGACGTAGGGGCGGGCAGCGGCGAGGCCATCGCTGGCAGCGGCGGCAGCACCAGCAGCACCAGCACCAGCAGCACCAGCGTGGACGGGCGCGGACGGGCGCGGGGCTGGGCTGGCGGCGGTGCGCGTGGTGCGCGAGCTCTGGGAGCTGACGGTCGACGAGGCCGACGAGGCAACGGCCAGTCGAGGGGCCAAGGGCGTCTTCGCAGGAGCGGGTCGGTTACTAGCGAGCGTCGGCTTCAGTGGCCGTGGGTTGTTGCGGTCGGGTCGTTCGATGGGCATTCTCCAGGGCGGCGCGGGCTACTGTGTGGGATCGGGGCGGCGGATGCAGAGGGGGCTCATGGCCTTGGGGGCGGGCAAGGCAATGGGCGGGATGCGGGCGAAGGGCGGTGTTGACGATGGTTGTTGATGGCCGCCGCCGCTAGCTGCGTGTCGGGTGTCGACAGGGTCACGACAGCCTCGCTTTGCGTGTGAGCGCCCCACTTCTACAATGGGCGCGGTCGGGGATGCAGGCTGATTGGCGTCGGGCCCATGGTCAGCGGCCCAGGACTGCAGCGGAAGAGGGCGCGTTCGTGGGCGCGAGGGAGCAACAGTCGGTGGGCGTGCGTGTGCGTGGGTGCTGCTGGCGTTGCGAGGCGAACGACGTCTGCTGGCCCTGGCCCGTCCTCGAGCGTTTCACGCCCCGCTAGGCCCAAACCGGCCCAGGCGTCGAGGCGCGTCATGACCTCGCCCATCCCGGCCATCCCTCCTCCCTCCCTCCCTCCCTCCCTCCCCCCCCCCTCGCCCGCCCATGTCGCGCGTCGCAGCGGGCCACACCCCCCCGTCCTTGTCGCCCTCCGCCCTCTCCCAAGATGACTCCCCACTTGGCTCCGTGAGCCAGGCAGGGTCTGCCCCTTTGCCCTCTCCACGCCCACCGCCATCATGACCTCGCCCGCCACAAGTGACATCAGGAGGCCCGTCAGCCCAATGCGCGCACCGTCTCGCGATGCCCCCGAGCACGCGCACGAGCACGAGCACGAGCACGAGTCCCTCAAATACCATCTGCTGGGCCCCTCGCTCACCAAGGCCGGCCAGGACTCGGTCGACCAGGCAAAGGTCTCCGAGATCATCTACCACGCCTCCAAGGGCTCCAAGTTCTTCAACAACGAGGAGGCCAAGGACAGGACGCTGACCGACAAGATCGAGAGGATCCTCGCCAAGAAGCGTGCGCTCGAGAAGCTTGACCTGACCTCCGACATGCGCAGGGCCGATGACTACATCGCCGAGCTCGAGCTGGGCCGCGATCTGAGCCAGGTCGTCGTCCATCTCGATTGCGATGCCTTCTACGCCGCCGTCGAGGAGCTCGACCGACCCGAGCTCAAAGACGTTCCCTTTGCCGTTGGCAAGGGCGTGCTGACCACATGCAACTATCACGCAAGGAAGTTTGGCTGCCGCTCCGGCATGGCCGGCTTCGTCGCCATGAAGCTCTGTCCGCAGCTTATCTGCGTTCCCATGAACTTTGCAAAGTACTCGGCCAAGGCTGAAGAGGTCCGCGAAGTCCTGGCCTTGTATGATGCCAATTTCGAGAGTGCCAGCTGTGACGAGGCCTACCTCAACCTTACCGAGTACTGCCAAAAACACCACATGACGCCCCAAGAAGCTGTCAGCCAAATGCGTGCCGACGTCTATGAAAAGGCCAAAATCACCGTGTCTGCTGGTATCGCCGCCAACGCGAAGCTGGCCAAGATCTGCTCCAACAAGAACAAGCCCAATGGCCAGTTTTTGCTTCCCAGTGACAGACAGACTATCATGGAGTTTATGAGAACGCTGCCCACGCGCAAGGTCAACGGCATCGGCCGTGTCTTTGAACGAGAGCTAGACGCTATAGGCGTCAAGACATGCGGCGACATTCATGCCCACCGAGCGTATCTAGCAAAGCTTTTCGGCCAGAAAGCCTTTCAGTTTCTCATGCAATGCTACCTTGGCCTTGGGCGTACCGTCATCAAGCGAGCAGAAGATTACGAGCGTAAAAGTGTCGGCACAGAAACCACTTTCAAAGAGTTACAGGCTCCAGACGCTCTTCGCGACAAGCTCCGTCAGATCGCGGAGGAGCTGGAAGGCGACCTCAAGCGTACAGAATACAAAGGCCGCACACTCTGCATCAAGATCAAACTTCACACATACGAAGTGCACACGCGGCAGACCACGCCACCCTTTGCTATCCACAAAGCAGACGACTTGTTCAAGTACGGTCTACCGATGCTCGAGAAGCTGATGAAGGAAATACCCAATATGCGGCTGCGACTAATGGGCCTGCGCGTTACGCATATCATCAGCACCAAGAAGCCTGGAATCGACTTCTTTGGCCGAGCCGCCAAGAAACCCTACTCGACTGCGAAGACGCCCGCCTCCAAAGACGATGAAGTTTGGGAAACATGGCCAGAGGAGGAGTTCGAAGAAGCAGCGCGGCAAGAACGAAACGACGAGATGAACGAGCTGGAGAAGCTGTCCCAAGAGCACGAACAACAACAACAACAGCAGCAGCAGCAGCATGGAAATGAGACTACGACCACCACACAATGGCAATGCCCCATCTGTAATATTCCGCAAGCCCCAGACGACGCAAGCTTCAATGCCCATATTGACTTTTGTCTTTCCAAGCAAACAATCAAGGAAGCCGTCAAGTCGACGACACCACCACTCTCAGCCCGCGAAAGACAAGCCAGTGCTTCAAAATCAATGCCCAAAAAGGGAAAGCGTGGACGCCCGAGAAACGATACCCTTCCTTCTGAGCAAGAGGCTCGCGAGAAGCGGAGAGGCTTTTTCTCATTGGGCAATGGGTGAATTTCCCGACCATGGGCAATATTTATGCAGCAACGACCAACAAGAAAATTTACAACATTACCATATTCAATGCACACACTTTTTTTCCGGTTCGCCAATCTTTACATGCTGACCAAGCCCGCATTCCAGAAAACATTCACCCATCATGTTGATTGTTGAACATGCTAAGCGTCATGCCATGAAAAATCCTAGATTAAGCGAGAATCAAATGTTAAAATAGAAGAGAATACAAAAAGAAAGAGGGGAAGGGGGTATCCGTCAACTCGAGTTCCATGGACCCGTCATTTCCCGGAGCCCCTTTTTTTCTTCACCCCTGACCCAGAGAACTAAAAAAAAGACACCCGTATTAATCCCATCCACTCCTTTCATGCGTCCTTCTGTGATGACTTCTTGCTGCCGTTCCGTCTTCCCTCCTCTCACCACCCATGACGCCACTTCCAAGCACGGAACCGTCCCTAAACTGCGCATTCGCATTACTCTCCGTGTATCCGGGCGGAACCGGCCACTGCATCTCACTCGACTCAAACGGATAGCTTCCTAGGTCTGTATTCAGGCTGTCGCTATGACTGCGCACCGAACTATTCAGCGGATGCGGCAACATGGACGCTTCCTGACGGTCCAGGAAAGACGAGTCCCCGTGAAAGTCGGGTCGCGTCAGCCGAAACGTGTCTTCCACGCGAGGCTGATCGGCAGGAGGACGAAGACCTGATTCCTGCTGCCGGGCCAATGAGTCTATGCCTGGGCTCAAGGTACTCGTGGTAATTGTGTTGTTGTCGCGCGTTGCCCGTGGCCCAAAAGTCTCGCCTTGCAATCTTGGTTTCCGATCATGCAACCCCTCTGGCATCGCATTTGTGTGCTCATGATCCGAACTGGTTCTGGTATTGTGTGAGAGGGATAAATTGTCGATCTTCTCCCCCAGACGTTGAATTTCGTTTTGCATCAGGGTTGCACCATCAAGACTGGGTGGTGGTGGGGGTAGCGCATGTTGAGGTGGTGGACTGGGGAAAGAATGGCTTACAGCTTCAGCATTGCGCGAGTCTCCGCGGCGGCTGGTCCGCTCGCTGGTCAATGGAGCTTCTAGTTCTACCGGTGCGTTTGGAATGGGCATAGGGTCCCAGGAGCGCTGCCAGCACCACGAGCGATGTTGCGTGGCTTCTAGATGCTCCGTCTGACCATGGTTAACCCATTCAGGCATGCGCTTGAGATCCGTGTTGAGGAAGTAGCGGACGCCTTCGGTGTGCTTGAGGCCTTGAACGTCGATGGACAGGGTGGATAGCACTTGAAGGGTGCCATAGAGAAGCACCCACCGGCCAAGACGTGCTTCGCGAGGCGACATATGCCTTAGATCCGTCATAATTTCGAATTGTTCGAATTTGTCGATCAGTGTAGACCCTAGTATCACATGTCAATTCAAGTCACACGCAGCTCTTGGTGCCAGCTCACCGTTGAAGTTTGCATCCAGCTTTTCAATGTTGGTCGCATCGGTGAATATGATGGAAAGCTGCAAGTGAGCTTTTGCGTCTTTTGTGGCATCCTTGGGCTTTTCCTTCTTGAGCGATGCAAAGAAGCCCTTCTTTTCTTTTTCCTTGACGCCCTTCGGTACCTCCCTGGGTAGCAATGGATACGGGTGCGGTATATGTGCATATCCACTCTTTACGTCATACGTGACCAGGATGTCCGTCATCCCAAGCTCTGGTAGGTCTGCGTTGAATCCATCGATCCTTCGGTGTGACATCTCCCATTTCCTGGTTGCGCGTTCCTCGCGCGGGTTCCAAATCACATCTCGGTCCACGAGGTAATCGTATAGAGATCCAAAGTCTTCCTGCAGCCCCTGGACAATCTTCCGGTTGAGCCAGGGCCTGTCTGAACTTGGTGGCCAGTTGCCATAGATGCGTGTAAAGTGAGAAATGAGAAATTGACGAAAACTTTGGTAACTCTGGTACACTGGGCTGCTGGTGGCCTTTGGTGTATCCTCCCACAGATCATTGAAGTCGAAAGTAGCCAGCTTGTCTTCGGCTTCCATGATGCGGAGCTGTAGCGTTTTCCCAGCTATCCCCAGATTCCTTCTCGTAACGACAGACAGGCGCTTGAAATCTGGACGTTCTTCAAGCTCCGGCGTCATAAGACCAGCCAAGTGGACAAAGCTCTCGAGGTAGCCTTGTCTCCATCTGACAGTATCCTGCTCCGCCCATGCCAGAAGCCCCAAGGCATGTCGGACGTTGTTACGCAAGTCATCTAATCCGTGTTGGCTTAAATAATTTGTGATCATTTGTACGCTACGTTCCCGAGCTGACATGCCTGGTCTGGCATCCAAGTCAAGGTCGTACATGACTTGTATCTCTTGCTGTAGCGTGCACAGCATCTCATACACGTCTGATCCAACGATGGGTTTACCATGCAGCATTGCTAGAAAATTGCGAATAGCAACAAAGTGTAGCCTTTGTGCCTGAGGTGTCTTGACTGTGCTCGGTGCTGTGAACCATATTTCATGCGTGACAGGACAGCCTACATGAGGGGCTTCGGGCCGATGCTGGTTGCGGGAAGCAGCTCTAGGATTCATACTGGAATGTGCTTGCTCGATATTGAAGGGTGGTGGTGGGGATATTCCACCTGGAGATGTCGGGCGCAACATACGTGTAGGCGGGGGAAGATTTGTTGGAAAACGTTCAGGCGGCGCGTTGGCGCTTCCTGGGAGCGACCATTCATCAACATCATTATCGTCTATTTGACTGTAGCGTAGAGTGTTGTTCAACCAGGTGGATCCTGCGTTTTGCAGTACTTCTAGCTCTGCTCTCATGGAGGGTGTGGGGCGATCCTCGTCCATTTGCTCTTCTTTGAAGTAGATGAGCACGCTGCCGTGCTGCATGTCTTCATCCTAGCGTACTTGATTAGTTCAAGTGTATTGTGAATGGGTCGGCCAAGAGTTACATATTCAAAGCCACCATAGGGGCGCATCCCGTCTCTGCCTCCTTGCCAGACTTTGAAGTTCACCCATGTCTTCTGGTTAGGCGACAAGACGTGCGAAGCCGCCGAATCTGATCGAAAGGCCGGGGGTGCTGATGGAGGCGCGACCGATTTTTTGGGTGGGACGCCTCCCCCTCTACCACGAGGTGCTTTTATGTCCTTGCCTTTGTTCTGAAACTTCATGTTCTCTCTGCCTTGCAACGATTTGTCCGACACGGAGGCCGAATCAGCCGCTGGTGACTTTAGGTGATGGGATCGACTGTCAGATGACGCATCCGTGTTGTGACTGGAGATTGTGAGTGAACGAGCGATTCCGCTCCTTGAATTGCTGGTGCTGGTGCTGGGCGACTGATGCCATTCTGCGAAGGCATCGTGCCTTTCGTAGTAGGGGTCAGGAGCTTTGCCTTTTGCCAAATCCCTCTTTTCTTTTTTCTCGACTTCCTTTTGCTGCACCTTTCGGCTTCGTGCGCCTCGTGCCGACATGATTCAGCGGTGCCCCTGAGTCGTGTTCGAAGCGATATCCCCAAGGCCACCAGGGAAATGTCTGGAGACTGCACAAATGGGTAAAGAGGATCTCAGAGACGTGAATGCCTTGGGATCAGGCAGGCAGGCAGTATTGTTATCTGCTGTCTTGCCGGTTTCAAATGGCACTGCAATTTTGTGGAGTAGGCCAAGGATCATGAATAAGGAAACAATAAAGGCCAGGCGATCTGTTAAAATGTTTGCCTTCCGTTAAAACGGGAATAGAGAAGAATGCAGCTAAAAGAGTGTGCGGCTGCGCCACGACAAGGCATTGGAGAAATAAAGGGTCAGGTGAGAACACAAAAAGAATACCATGTAGGGTGGAAGGCGAGATATGTCGAGAACGAGCGCCTTGCGTGCGGGCGCATGGGCTGGAGCTGTATATATTGAATCTATTCTGGAAGGTTTATGTCGACCCATCCCGCTGCTCAGGATGCGGAGCACAGGTCAGTGTCGAATGCGGCCTGGCTGCTGATAAGAAAAGTTGTGCTACCGGCTGCTGCATGTTCAGCGCGAAGCGAGCAGCCACTGGGCAAAGCGAGCGCTCTGCAGGAGAGTTGCATATCCAGGTAGCGAGACCAATAGCAATGCTGATGTTGTGTGTGTCTGAGCTCACAAAGGCACAAGCCGGCTGATGTGCTGCTCCTGGGCGTCAGCAATCTCATCGCCCTGCAGCGAGAATCTGAAGAGCGGCTCGTGGAGCCTACAAAGGCAAGTGAGTGCAAAGGCGGCACGGCACGCGTAGGCTGCAGGCGGGGAAGCTGGGTGCATGTCGACGAGGTATACGGCCAAGGCCGTCATATATAGCATGTAGTACGCGCGCAATGTGCACAAACTCGGGACGGAACCAAGGCGCTCGGCGACCCTTGGACATGGAGGATGAGGGTGGGTAGACTAGGCACGCTCGGGCCCAGAGTGTTGGGTGATGAGCAACAGGCGTCGAAGGCCAGTCGGGGCCGGACAATGCTGGAGGGGGGCGGCATCCTTCGGCGCTCCTCGCAGCACCCGCGAATGAGGCGTCGACTGCGCGAGGGAGCGGGAAGTGGGCTGAAAACAAAGTGGATTGGGCGCCGACAGCTGTCGAGGGCGCGGGCGGCCCACTCTCCATGTGTGGGTGGACATGCTGCACCGGTGTCGTGCACGCGGAGCAACCGAGGACGCGCCGAGGGGGGGATCGTTGATGGACAGTTGGCGCTGCGGGCGCGTTTGGATGCAGCTGTTGGCGAGGGCACGTCGCGGAGCCATCAGGCCTGGTGGGTGAGTGGGTGAGTGGGTGAGAGGGTGTGTGGACAGCAGCAGCCTGAGGCCGTGGCCCGGGCGCGGGGTCGTGGTTGGCCAGAAATGCAGAAGGCACCACCCACCCCCAGCCACACTGTACCAGCCTCCCCCGCCATTCGTGCAGCAGGCATCGCGCCCAGTTTTCCGCCCATGATACGTCACATGTATACTCCCCCGACTGCAAGCCTGGTCGCATGTGGTAGCCCAATCGCACGACCCTCGAGCCCGCCGCCCTTCCACTTTCTTAAAAGCACTCGTTCCAACCCTTTCCCGTCAGCGAGTCGTCATCCTGCATCTTCTCTCGCTGTCACTGTCACTGTCACTGCCACTGCCTCTGTCGCAGTGCAGGAGGCCCTCCAACTCTCCAACTGCTGTCCTCTCACTGCAAACATCCTTTGCACATATATACACACACACACAGATACATACACACACCCCAACCGCCATCATGTCCATCTCCGGGCTGTCCTTCATCTTTTGGCGCCTCTTCCAGTTCGTCACCCTCGTGCCCACGCTGGGCATGCTGGCCTGGTTCGTCGACTGGTACAACTCGCGCAACCTCCTCACGCCGACGTCTATCCTCGTTCTCTTCATTGTATCTGTACTCGGAGCCGCATGGGTAGCCGCCACTCTCTTTCTCTACACGCGCGCCAGGCACTCGGCCAAGTTCGTGGCCTTTGTCGACCTTTTGTTCGTGGGCGCCTTTATCGGTGCTGTATACGAGCTCCGAGGCATTGCCGATGCAGACTGTTCCAACTGGGGCCGCACAGGTGCCTACAGCGCGGACTTGGGCTTGTTCACCATCTCTGGAAACACATACGGCCTCGATGTTAACCGCCAATGCGCCATGCTCAAGGCATCTTGGGCTTTTGGCATCATGTGAGTTGTATTCGGCGCATCAAACAAGTATACTGGCACTAACACGATAGCTCAGGAACATCATCTTTTTCTTCATCACTTCTATCCTGGCCCTACTGGTTCACCACCACTACCGTGATGATCGCGTCATCGTTAAGCGCGAAGTCCACCGATCTCGTCACGGCCACAGCCCACGCCACTCATCCCACCGCAGCCGCAGCAGGAGCCGACGCAGCTATGTCGTCTAAGCGCATGCCGCCATGTGTAATGAGTACCATCTGTTAATCGCAATGTCATGAGTATGAGAGTTTGGGACGCCGGAAGCTTTGGAGCCATGTGGTAGACGATTGTGATTAGATTACGAATTTCTTTGAAAATGTTCTTTTTTTTCTGCTAGTACCTGGAAGTACTCGGGGCAGATCTGGAATGAAGCAGCACTATAATGACGAATGTATGTATGAGGATATCCCCTAGTGTCAACAGTTTACTTTTTTTTCTCGATTTTTCTTTGTAGATAGTCCGATAATCTTGAAATGGACATATGATCAATCTCATCCAAAATAATCCAACAACCTACATAAGCACAGCCACGTCGACAATGCACACCTCCAAGTTGCTATCAAAACAAACAATAGGCTAATTGGACAAGTTAGCCGCCCAGGCGACAACGCACTCGAAGCTGGGATGTTCGTGGCTCGTGTACGGTGACGTGACTCGCACGACTACTTTCTCGCACCGCTACTCTCCGACCACCACACTAGTGCGCCCAATGTCACATGGGCGCTGTTTTGTTTTGAACAACGTCTAAAGGCTTTTCCCCACGGTCAGCACAAGACTTTGCTCACGGCCTCGGACATGTACTTGTCAACGTGAGTCATGAGAATGCGATTGATATCGGGTTTGTTTGTTTTTACAGATGCGTGGCGCGAGGACGTGTCCATGTCAGCTTCCACATAGATGCAATTCTTCTCTTTCTCCCGGTACTGGTACAAAGGTGTCTTTACAAATCCCATAGCCCATGCGATGCGGTGAGTGTCAGCGTCTGTCCACAAAAGCGTCGCTTGGTGCCACTACCACACTCTGAAAAGCGCCATGCCGCCCAGTCGCCGCTCGACACACTCTCTTGCTTCTAAAATGCCCCGGTCTGTCGTGATGAACATGCACTCTCCGGGATGCGTCAGTCCCTTGACATAGCTGGACTCGCGCGTCCTTGTGATCTTGCCCAGGTCTTCACTCGTCAGCCATATCCGCCGTGTGGGCTTCGACACTAGCTTCATGTTCTTCAGTACCGGCTCGTTCTGCCAGTACTTCAGCCCCAGCCATAATCTCCTCCGCGCCGGGTTCTCTGGTACGTGTACTTGGTGGTCGTGCTCTTCGCCCAGTGGGGCCTTTCCCTTGTTGCCTGGTGAATTCGCCATGGGGTAGGCAAGCCAGGGCTCGTCCTTGAGCTTCTGGGCCATTATTTCTAGTTGCTCGGGGTCTTGTTGTGCTTGGAGGAGAAAAGGCTTTGGTGGTGTGGGCCCGCCCAGTGTCACGGAAGAGAGAAAGCCTTCGCGCTGCAGCCCCAGCGCAATGTTGGTATGCATCTTGGAGACGGGTATTGACGTCAGCCCGAGGCGGGCTTTGGATGCATTTTGCATGTGCGAGCAGAAGTGTGCCAGGTTGACGAGAGACATGTCGGCGGCGTGGATAGGATTTTGCCCTCGATGGGCTGGCGACGGCGGGCGGGCGCGATGGCGGGGTAGGCTTTCCCAGGCGGCCGACTGACCAGGTGGCGGAGGGGGGGGGGGGGGCTCAATGCGATGCTCGACGCAGCGGCGAGGCTCAATTGCGCGTGATGGTGGTGTCGTCGGCAGAGGCTCGATGCAGCAAATTTCTGGATTGGCTCGGAGGTCCGCAAGTCACGGGTGGGTCGCGCGCCTCTCAGGCTGCGATTCGACGGAGCCCGCCCAGCGCCTACTAAACTCCCCACTAGCAGGCGGGCGCTTTGAGCACGACACAAATAGAAGCTCTCGCAGCCGTTGGGCGGAGCTATGTTCGGCTCCTATACCAGCCTTGCGCCCTATATATGCCGTTGCTTTCTTCATGTCTGGGCTTGGGTGCTACTTGACCATCTGCCGTCTGCCTGCAACTTGGCTGCCTGATACACATTATCATCTTGGACACCGGATTCACCCCAGACTCGCCCCAGACTCACTGCCACAATGCCTCCACAGCAGGGCGAAGTATCGCTCTTGACCCTGTGAGTAGGCTGCATCGCTCTGCAGACGCCGTCTCTCCTGACACTGCCAATAGCTTCGCCGATGTGCACTACTACATCTCCCCACCAGCCCAGATCCCCCCGCACCACCGCTTCGACAAGGGCTCGTATGTCTATCTCTACCACAACCCCATGCGCCAGAGCGGACGCATAGAGATAGCAAACCATGCAGGCACTCCCAACCAAGACGCCTTTGCCGGTCGTAAGTCCTTGCGCGGGTCGCCATGTACGCAGTGCAAGAAGCTGATGTCGGTTGTCGCACAGAGCTGGACACAGTCAAGATTGAACAGACATACAAGCACCCGTGCCTGTTCACACTCACAGTCGACGAGTTCCAAAGCCAAAATGGAAATGCAAGCCCCCACCAGGACATGTCGCAGTGGCATCTCCCGACGCCCGACCCGTCGAGCCAGGGCAAATACATGTACAGACTGCATACGGTGGACATGTATTTTTGGACGCCAGAGGATGCGAGTCTCTTTCTCGACTCGGTGCGGAGAGTGTTGCAGCCGCATCAGTTGCAAATCACACGCAACCCCAGCAGTGCCACGCCGACGCACTCGGAGCACAAGAACGATGCCATGAGCCCCGTCATTGCACGGCTGGAGAATGCCGCGATATCGCATACAAGCCGAAGCGCAAGCATCAGCACTACACAATCGTTCCCTGGCCCTCCAACCGCTGCCGCACCGACATCGCCGCCGCCAAGCGAGCAACCGCCCAACTACGCTCCAATGGCATACAACCCAGCTGCCCCCGCCGCGCCAGAGCCTATTGCCCACCGCGAAAAGACACCGCCGCCAGAAGATGCCACGGACGGAACGGGTCTGGGGACTGCTGCTGCGCATGATCAACATGCCGCGCAATACAGCAATCCGTTGCAGGCTTCGTTTGCTCCGCAGCCAACGTCTGGCTCATACTTTCCTGGACCGCCCGCCCCAGGACAGGGATTCACTGGCCCGCCAGGTGTGCAACGTACAGATACTGGGGGATCCGCGCCAAGTGCACCGCAGAGCGCGCCATCATTTGCTCCGCCACCATCTGCTCCTCCGCCAGGCCAGTTCAACCATACCCCACCACCACCGCCGCCCGTGAATCGGACGTCATCGATGCCTGCTCAGCAGTATGCCACGTACCCCAACTCGCCCGGCTTCCCCCCAGCCCCGCAGTCACCCCCACCTCACTCTGCCGTGCCTTCGCCTGGCTTCCCTCCGCAGCCGTATCAGCCAATGGCCTCTCCCGCCTACTCACAGTATCAGTACGGCAGCACGGCAGCACAGGGACAGAGCATGCATCAGCAGCTCTACAGGCCAACCGAGACGGAAGCCGCTGTGCATCACCACGAGAACCCAAACGGGCCGCAACGCAACTCCAACATCGGAAAACGGGTAGATAAAGTGGAGAAGGGCATTGGCAGTTTCTTGAAAAAGCTGGATAAGAAGTTCTGAGCAGCCTCGCAGCGCGCCGCGGTTTTTTGTTGTTGTTGTTGTTGTTGTTTCTATTTTGTCTTGTAACCATCTCTGAGCCCTTTTAGCAAGCGTAGACATTGAGCAGAGCGACGGCCGTATTATAATGAAATGGCCTATTGTCGCCCTAGATGTGTAATTCTCAGCCACACTTGTGCCGAAGTGGAAATGCATGCACATGTGGAAGTGCGATCATCATGCATGCAAGGGCCAATCACAAATAGGCGCTAACGTATCTCGTCTCTGTGTGTGTGTGCGCGCCTGGGAGGGCCCTAAAATAGTAGCAGGCTCCGGGCCATGGCAAGCCTGAGCCTGTGTAGGTTTGGCCTCGGCCGCTGATGTGAGGCATCTAGATCGCAAGGCCGATGATTACATAGCCGGCAGCTCTGTTGCGACATCAACGGGGCCCTCATCTGCGTTGCTGGAGTGCTGCGAGGCGCCTTGCCCTCTTGGACCTGGCCCGTCCAGCGTTCTCCTTAGCCCGTCCCCCCCCAAAAGAATCCTCCCCCAGCCACAGCCCCCCACCCCCCCTGGCCATCGCCTCCCTCCCAATCAGTCCAGCAACATTGCGTGCGCATCAACCCTCAGCCTGCTGCCAAGGCACGTATCCGGGCGCGGGCGCAGGCGCAGCCCAGAACATTGTCTGCGCCAATCTCCCCCCCCCGTTGCCTCTCCGTCGTCTGACCCTACACTATGTAAGCAGCTCCCACATCCAACACGTTATTAATCGCAAATATTGGTTTTCTCTACGCTAGCCTCGCCGTTTCAACCCAACCGCTCCCTATCTTCCTAGTGCGAAACAGGGCCGAGGACGCGGGCTTGCCGAAGCTTGGGCGATCTGCCTTACTCGGGACGAGTGATCTCATTGCGAAAACAAAGCTTCGTTAACACTTCTTGGTTGACTTGACACTCGTTCGGACCGGCACATGGGCCTACTGGTACCATGCTGTTACCTACCCGGCATCCAAGGCACCATGCTTTGGAGAGACGAGCCCTGTCCAAACAGGCCCGGACGTTTGTTGTGGTACGTCGAGTCCTGCTGCCTGCCGCACCCAAAACACCCTCCCCGACTCTGCTGTGACTGACCCGTTGCCATCTAGATTGGCGTCATTGCAGTAGTCATCTTCGCTATACTCATAATCACATACTTCACCACTCGGAAATTCCGCGCTTCTTCCCGCGGCACCCGGAAAGCACAGCAGGCCTCAAAAGACAAACTACCTTCGCTATTTTCCTGGAAGTACTTTCGCAAGCGCCCGCGCCGCAATGGCTACTCCACCACCCTGCAAGATACCGAATACCGCGGGAGCGCCAGTCGAGCAAGCGGTGAGATGAGTGGCGCGACACCAGCAGATCCTGAGAGGCAAATCGGCAGCACCGCTGCGAATGGCGTCGACCGGAATACATCGATTCGCAGCGTCATGACACTGCCCGCCTACTCTTCCGCCGCGAGGGAAAACGAAAGAGTGCTAGGACGCGAAGGCGAGCGAGCAGGCATGGACAACGTTATTGAGCTTCCAGAGACGCAAGACGAAGAGGAACGACTGCGAGAGGAAGAGATGGAGTCATTGTACCAAATACGATTAGCGCGACGAATTGAAGCAGCCGAACGAGAGGCACGCCGGCAAGCACGGAGAGAGGCGCGGGCACGAGGCGACGCCCAGGCACTCGCAGACATTCGACGGAGAGCAGAACAGGCAGCAGATCTCTCGATATCACAAATGCTCATCGCAGAGCACCAGGCCAGACAACGAAGCCGCGACCATCGCGTATCATCGGTAGCCTACGGCGATTTGGGCGTCGCAAGACACGACGGCACACGTCTCCGCGCAAACTCTTCCGAAAGCGACAACCGTCCTCTGCTCGACTCTGCCGCCTCTTTCTCGGGCGTAAGCGGAAGATCGCGTGGCTACACAGCCACGAGCAACGAAACACACCAACGCGGCCTCTCGGTAACTTCCCTTGCACAATCTGTGGAATCTCATGGGTCCGACGACTATGATTTTGCAGATGCTTCGCGCACAAACTCCCAAACACACTCGCATACCAACAGTGAGGGTTTCGAGGTAATTCCGCTACACCCAGAAACAAGCCATAGCGGAAGCAGTGCACCGTCACCACACGCAGATATACCAACAGAAGATGCCCCCGCGTATGAAGACCCACCCAACTACGAAAACCCGGTAAACGACCGAGCCCCGCAGTTACCAGCTCTTAATCTGGACCTGGAACGACTACCCAGCATACAAGTAACTACAGAACCAACGCCCGTTGATGGACGAGCACCATCCCCACTGCGATGATAGCTCTAACCAAATATATTATTCTTCAACAAGTGAAAAGAAACATTCATTCCTGATTTAACACGCACACATGTCGAGATAGTTGGATCATCATCGTTGTTGTTTTTTCTCTCTAGCCATTTGAAGGTCGTTTTCGCAAAAGGAGCATTCATTCTTAGTTTTTACCATCTTCATCAACGATTATACGAAGTCATGCTGGTGGATTCAGCCATATATATCCAAAACTTTGTACATAGCTTTTTTTTGCATCTTCATGAGTTTGCATAAGTAATATAGCACATACAATTGAATATTTGAAAAAATTGAGAGTTTACTTTCTCTAAGTACTTGGTGTTTTTTTGGATGAGTGGAGCTCAACGTATTGACGCTGGGGATTTCAAAATGGAATAGGGTATAGAATCTGTACAAGGTCACAGTGAAGTACCATTTCCATGAACTTCATATAATGGCAATAATCTTGGGTCGGCTTATTTGGTCTGATCGTTTATTTATATTCTACGTGATTTTGACATACTGACATGGCGGATGTCACAACGCAATAGAGTGCTTAATTGAAGATCACAGTGAGACACTGTACCTTGTACCTTGTTCGTTTTATGCGTGATTTCGGCGTTGCTAACGCGGTGGATTTCATAGCACAGTAGAGTACATAACATGTAGAAAAGGCAAAAGTGAGTTGCTATATCCTGTGCCTCATGCGATATAACTAGCCCCACCACAAAGTGCGCGCGACCACAAAGTGCGCGCGCGCCTTACAACCACCTCAACCTCAACGCGTCGTATCCCCACCACCATGGCTAATATTGAGGCTGCGCTTGCAGCTATTAATGCCCTAGGACCTGATGAGCCTTTTTCGTATACAGATATTGCAAAAAAATATGGTGTTGTT